TATATATATATATATATATATATATATATATATATATATATATATGGAAAAAAAACTATCATTTAAAAGGACACATGTTGTGTCCTTTTAGATGATTTACACAAAGTATGACCGGTCATACTTTGTGTAAATCTGAAAAGTTTTTTTTCTCTCTCTCCTCAGTCACATAGTTGACGTGTAAAGTGAAAAAAAAATAACTTTTCAGAATTACACATAGTATGACTGGTCATACTCTGTGTAAGTCACTAAAAGGACACAACTTGTGTCCTTTTAAATGACACACACTAAACCCTATATATATCGGATTTTATAAGAGTTATGTTGTAGGAAAAACGATTGTGTAATGTTATAGAGATTCGTTTTGCGTGCCGTAATTTCTTTTTTTTTTTTCTTCAAACAGTGTGGGCCCCACAAAATGTTGTGTGTGTCGAAAAATTTGTTGTGTCATGTTAAATGACAAATGCAAATCCCACATATATATATATGGGAAAAAGAAATATCCTTTTGAATGACACAAGTTGTGTTCTTTTAGTGACTTACACAGAGTACGGCCGGTCGTACTGTGTGTAAATTTGAAAAGTTGCTCTTTTTTCTCTCTCCCCAGTCACATCGCTGACGTGTAAAGTGAAAAAAAGTAACTTTTCAGAATTACACAGAGTACGACCGGTCGTACTCTGTGTAAATCACTAAAAGGACACGACTTGTGTCTTTTTGAATGACACACACTAAACCCTATATATATATATGGGTTTACTAATCTCATGTTATATGAGATAGTACTCTCATGTGGGTAAAATAAATATGTGGGGTTCAATGTAAAAAAAAGAAAAGAAAAAATGGCACGAAATTCTATTGATGTATGACGTAAGATAACCTTTTTGTTCTACCTACTCTTATTCTGTCTACCTTTGCCTAATCCTTTCAACACCGTTAGATTACAATCTCATCCAACGGTGGATATCTGTGGAATAAAATAAACATTTCTTCTTCTTTCTTTCTTCTCACTTCCTCCCACACTCTTTCTCTCTCCTCTCCTTTCTCTATATCGACGACCATATAATTTTGGGGATGAAAATCACTTCCTCCAAAACGAAAAACACATACTCAATTAAAGAAAGAACAAAAAACACATATTATCGAGGATCATCATTCGAAAAAAACCCCTTGCTCCTCACTGTCCACAACTCTATCTCTATGCTTGCGATTTATATTATAAGAGAAAAATAAAAGTATCCAATTAGGGATCGCTTTGAAAAATCATACACAGCCTGATTTGAAAAATCTTTCAATGCGATCCTTGTAAAGGAATGTCTACGAATATAGGAAGGGAAAACAGTCTGATTTTTTTCAAATGATAGTCATCAATGATATGTATTTTTCGTTTTTTCATTGATCGAGTATGTGGGAGGAAACCAGAAAAATACTCTAATGCTTTTTTGGCGGACAGATTCAGGGAATTAATAAGTTGCTGTGGTTATTTGGGCATCGCGTCTACTGCGATGGCTGAATTATTTGCAATTAAGCAGTGAATATATAAAATCGACTTACGAGATGTTGTAACTTGATCATCGAAGCCTACGCCATTCTTTTATCTTAGCCCGTGACAGGACTGTGATTATTAGTCATATTTAAGGGAATAATGAATCAATGTACATATACTTTTAGTTAAGATCTTTTAACTAATGAATCAATGGTATGTCTTGGTATAGAGAGAAAGGGGAGGAGAGAGAAAGGGTGTCGGAGGAAGTGAGAAGAAAGAAAGAAGAAAAAATATTTATTTTATTTCGTAGATATCCACCGTTGGATGAGATTGTAATCTAACGGTGTTGAAAGGGGTAGGCAAAAGGTAGGCAAAATAAGAGTAGATAGAATAATCTATATATATATATATATATATATATATATATATATATATATGAAAAATATTTCTTTGGCAACTTGAGATAAGTTTATCTCTAGCCACTCCAAAACTACGTCGTTTTGTTTACTTATTTCCTTATATTAATTGATTCACCTTTGAATGGTTATGATTCCTTTTTTCTCTCTCTTCCTTTATCACCATTGATCCATCTTTGTACGATTATGATTTAGTAGCCGAAGATAAAATTATCTCAATCAGCTTGAGAAACGATAAGCCACGTATGTATATATATATATATATGGAATATGTTATTCTACCTACCATTTTTTCTATTTACCTTTGTCTACCACTCTAAAACACCATTAGATCATAATCTTAACTAACATTTATCTTTCTCTCTCTTCTTGAGATTCTGATCTAACAGTGTTGGAGAGTGGTAGGCAAAGATAGGCAGAAAAAATAATAGGTAGAATAACATATCCATATATATATATATATATATATATATATATATATATATATATATATAGGAAAGGGTTATATTTACAACCCAAATAGTTTACAAACTCTTACAACCATATCTTAACCGTTGATTTTCGCCAATAAACGATTGTCATTTATTGTGAATTAAGAATTAATTAATAAATTTGATTTGCGAAAATCTTAACCGTTGATTGGTGGAAATCAAAGGTTAAGATATTGTTGTAAGAAGTTGTAAACGAAAATAGGTTGTAAATATATCCTATATATATATAGGAGGGTTATATTTACAAAAATTTTGTTTACAAACTACACTATGTTCTCTTAGAAGAACACTGAGTTACACTATATTCTCCCAGGAGTACATAGTGTAATTTGCAAAAATTTATAAAAAAAATTTGTAAAAAAATCCTTCCCTTATGTGTATATACATATATGTATATATACATATATGTATATATATACATATATATATATATATATGTGTGTGTGAGTTTTATAAGAGTTATGTGTTAGGAAAAGTGATTTTGTAATGTCATAGAGATTCGTTTTGCGTGCTGTAATTTTCTTTTTTTCTTTTTTCTTCAAAAAGTGCGGGCCCCACAAAATGTTGTGTGTGTAGAAAAATTTATTGTGTCATGTTAAATGACAAATGCAAACCCTACATATATATATAAAGTTTTATTACGGAAATCAATGGCTAGGATGAAGAGTAATCTTACTCTGGAGTCGAATGATCTCTCTCCATATATATATATAGAGGGATGAGATCAACTTACGCGGCGTAAGAATAATAAATCTTATACTACATCTTAACCGTTGATTTCTAATAAATCTTATACTACATCTTAACCGTTGATTTCCGTGCATCTAAGATTTATTGAAAACTAATAATTAATTAATGAGTTAGATCCAATAAATCTTAACCATTAGATGCACAAAACTTAACGGTTAAGATTTGGTGTAAGACTTATTATTCTTACACCGGTGTAAGTTTATCCTGGTCTATATATATATATAAATCCCACTACTTTTATATATAAATAGAAAATAATTTTTTCTCTTATAATATAAAAAAATTAAATCCTTCATTTTAACATAAATAGAAAAAAAGGACAAATTTTTTGGAGGCAGTAATCAGAAGCGTGCATATCGGTCTCATGGGTCGTACGGATCCGGTTGTTATTATTTAACATCCTACTTACTCAATTGGTTGCATCTATAATTAAGAATTTAAAGTTTCAAAAGATACTTTAAATAATTTTATATAATATTCATCAAAATATGTTAAAAAAATATGCGGAATCTATATAAATGTATATGAAAATAAGAAAAAAAAATATGGATCTTACACATTTTTATATGTGTTTTTTGATGAAATTAGATAAAAATATCTAAAAAAATTTTAAACCCTATAATTAAATTATAATTCAAATGTGATTGAACTCATAGATTTAAATTACTAGTTGTGAGTTGTGAGTTGTGAGTTGTGACTTTGTACCTTCGTATGACGACGAAATTTTTTGACTCGATCAATTGTTTCGGTTTACCGTTTGTTTGATTTAAAAATTTAGAAGAATGAAAAATTTGCAGAAAATCCGTCGAAATGGTCTAAAACCGATAAAAAAAGCTAATTTTAATAGAAAACTATTTATATTGTTTTTTAGTCAAATAAAAGATGAGAGAGATTATACTTACTACTTTTTTTTTCTAACTACTTGTTACTACTCAATCTTAACCATTAATTGCCGTCAATCTAACAGTTATAATTTATTAGAATTAATAATTAATCAATAAGTGTGACTTAATAAATTATAATTGTTAGATTGGTGGAAATCAACGGTTAAGATTTAGTAGTAACAAGTATTAATAAAAAATGTAGTAAGTATAACTTCTTCCATAAAAGATAATGTCAAACTATAAATATTCAACTTGTTATTATTTAGTCTCGTATTATTAATTTTTCTTATTTTATAAGACATATATTTTTATGTTGATTTTAATTTAATTTAATTTCTTGTGATATTATATTAAAATATTATTTAATATACTAATGAATACCATAAATATATTTAATTATCACTGTTTGACTACGGTTCAATTGCGATCAGACTAATAAATTGTAAATTAATATCTGTGTGTTCGATTAGAAATATGACATTGTATATCTGGTATAAACTTTAAAATAATATTTCGTAGTATTATTGATTTGCAAGAGAATAACATGTCTATATTTTGCGTATTTTTTATTTCGGCAATAAAAGAGGTGAGGTGATTATGTTATTTTCTTGTTATCTTAAAACCAACCCAATTGTTAATTTTCAATTCTACTAATTTTTATCAAATTAAAAAATATTTTTAAACGTATTAAATACTAATCAAATTTTAGTTTTAAATTTATTAAAAATAATATTTCTATGAAAGTGAATTTATCTTATGTCTTGAAAGAAACACCACCTTAAACGAATCCGATTTTAACACAGGGCTTTACTTAGTTTAAGAGGATGATTCTCTCTCTCCTCTCTGTGTCTAGTTGTCGTGTTCCGTCATGGGGTGGGTGGCTCTGTTTATATCTCCTCAGAAATGTGGCACAGCCACACTTTCAAAGTTTTTGCCTTAACTTTCTTTCTCTCTCCATTTTATTCCCTTTCTCGTGAATTATTTCATAATTTTTTCTATTTTTTATATAATAAAAAAAAATCTCTTTGAAAGGTTGCGGAAAAAAGTATTATTTTTTGAGAAATATTTATTATTTCCCTTTCTTCCTCTCTTTTCGGTTTCTGTTTGTGTGTCAGAACAAAAGAGGAAGGGAAATAAGGAGAAATCTCTAATCATAGGAAAAACAAAAGAAAAGAGAGCAACAAGTGAAGCAAATTCCAGAGGATGAATGGGGTCACACTCCTTGAACCAGATGACTCTGAGTTTGTTGAAGTTGATCCAACTGGCAGATATGGCAGAGTACACCCATCATCTTTCTCTCTTCATCTCTCCTTCTCCCTCACCCACCTCACTTTGATGATGTTTTCCTTGTGTTTTGCAGTACAATGAAATCCTTGGCAAAGGAGCTTCAAAGACAGTGTATGATTACAATACAACAAACTCATCCTATTCCTTTATGATACCCGTTTCTTATTTTTCTAAAATTCCAAGTCTTTTTGGTTCTTTCAGTTGATTGTTTATCTGGGCAAGTACTCATTTCCTCGGAATTTGAGTTTCTCTTTGTTTTTCTTTGAGTTTGTTGAAATGGGCATCTGATAGTTTTTTTTTTTTTTTTTTTTTTTTCATTTTCAACTTTTTGATGGTTTGGCTTCTCAATTGATGCAGATATAGAGCATTCGATGAGTATCAAGGGATTGAAGTTGCTTGGAACCAGGTCAAGCTCTATGATTTTCTACAAAGCCCTGAAGATCTTGAGAGGCTTTACTGTGAAATTCATCTCCTGAAAACATTGAAGCACAGAAACATTATGAAATTTTACACCTCTTGGGTAGATACTGCAAATAGGAATATCAACTTCGTGACTGAAATGTTCACATCTGGTACACTTAGACAGTAAGTTCTTTTTGGAGTTCCTACTATTTTTCCTCCTTCTACATTATATCTGTTCATTATACTTTTTGTGCATTTTAGATCTTGTGCTATTTCTTTTTCTTTCAGATTTTCTCTTGTTTTAATTGTCAAATAGGTATAGGCAAAAGCACAAGAGAGTTAACATCAGAGCAGTGAAGCATTGGTGTAGACAGATCCTGAGTGGACTTCTCTATCTTCATAGCCTTGACCCGCCTGTGATCCATAGAGATCTCAAATGTGATAACATTTTTATCAATGGAAACCAAGGGGAAGTAAAGATTGGAGATCTTGGCCTGGCAGCAATTCTCCGGAAATCCCATGCTGCTCATTGTGTAGGTCTGTTAGTTTCATTTCAGTAAATTTCATATAACAAGCTATCTAGAAATGGAATAAATCTTTGGTACTACTGCTGTACCTAGATTCAGTGCATCCCATGAATAAGAGTCTTACACATCAGATGAGAGAGAGAAAATTTAACAGAAAAAAAAGTATTTTAGCTGACATGTAATATTTTCATTGGTGGGATACACTGAATTTTTGGTACAACAGTAGTACCAAAGATTTATTCCTAGAAATGATGTTAGCCAGTTCAAACGCCAATGGCAATTAGTTCGCTTGGTGCCTTTTTTTAAAATGATTTGGTGATATCATCAGAAACTGTGATATTTCCTGCACTACTAATGCTTTCATTATAGTTGGACAAGGGTCAGTGATACTAGTTAGACTTCATCTGTTGTGCTTCTGTTTTCACAGGAACACCTGAGTTCATGGCCCCCGAAGTATATGAAGAGGCATATAATGAATTAGTTGACATATATTCCTTTGGGATGTGCATATTGGAGATGGTCACATTTGAATATCCATATAGTGAATGCACTCATCCGGCTCAAATCTACAAGAAAGTTATTTCTGTAAGTTTGCTCTCTTTCTCTCTATCTTTTTGACAAGTGATGTTTCTGTAGTGACGAGATTCCGTTGGCATTTTCTATCTGCAGGGGAAAAAGCCAGATGCTTTGTATAAAGTGAAGGATCCAGAAGTGCGACAATTTGTTGAGAAATGCTTGGCCACAGTGTCTCTAAGGCTTACTGCAAACGAGCTTCTAGATGACCCGTTTCTTCGAATTGATGATTATGAATATGATTTGAGACCCGTAGACAGTGGGGAATTGGATGACTTTGGTCCTCTCATCAGACAGCCATTCTTGGATCTCCATCGAAGCTATAGTAACTTCAGTAATGAATACTCAAATGGCTTTGGGTACGAAGGAGACTGGTGTTCTCATCCAGCTGAGATTGAACCTAGTGGAATCGAACTTTTTGAGTATCATGATGACGAGCCCTCTGAAGATGTTGACATAAGCATCAAGGGCAAGAGGAAAGATGATGGTGGCATCTTTTTGAGACTAAGAATTGCTGATAAAGAAGGTTGGGATGCCACTTTTTATTATCTCTGTACTTTATACCTGTTATCTGTACACTTCATTTAGGAATTTAAGTTTAATAATCTGACTAAATTGTATATTACAGGTCGCATTCGAAATATTTATTTCCCATTTGACATAGAAATGGACACAGCAATAAGTGTGGCAACTGAAATGGTTGCAGAACTCGACATTACTGATCAGGATGTTACCAGAATAGCAGATATGATAGATGGGGAAATTGCTTCCTTGGTACCTGAATGGAGGCCAGGACCAGGAATTGATGAAACTCCCCGTTTTGCAATTCAAGGTTTATGTCACAATTGTGTGTCTAATCACACTTCTAGTGGCTCTCTTCTAGATTTTCTTTCACATAATCCAAGTAGCAAGAACTTGCAACTTCTCGAGTGTTGTAGGCATGGATGTGCTTCAATGCATGGGCGGTTTGAGGAGATTACGTTCCAATCTGAGGAGTATGACAATCATGTTAGAGAGGGTCAAAACATATCAAGCCAATCAGATTGCTTGCAGTTTCAGGAGATATGGATTCAGCATGAAAGTCGTGAACTGAGTCCGGTAGAGTCTGATCTAAGCCATTCTGATGAACATTATGAACAATTAGGTAAATCAGTATCAGCTGAAGATAAAGGACTGGATGTTCGGGAAAACAAGTTCTCCCCCGACGAAGCAGCAAATTCCTTAAGAAATTTGTCAGGGAACCATGATTTTTCTGCTATCGGTGCGTTGTATACTGACTTTGCGGATGACCGTGAGAAAGAGATCCAAAAGGAATTGCGATGGCTCAAAGCAAGATACCAAATGGAGTTAAGGGAACTCAAGGATCAACAGTTTGGGCTAACAGCTAAATCTTCATATTGTAGTGACAGAGAGCACAAAACAGAAGATGAAGTTAAGCCACCTTCACTGACAGAAACATTAAAAGGAGGCAACAATGGGATTCACTTGAAACCCGTTACTAACAACTGGAACTATGATTCAAGTAACCATCCTCGTGTCCATAAGAGCAGCCCCAATTTGGACACCCAAAGGGACCAAAATTGTGAGGCGATGCAATCATCCCCTGGAGAAGTTATGATTACTGCAAAGAGTTTTTACACAGGCTCCTTGCTTCCACCCTCTCTGCACAGGACAGTTTCCCTCCCAGTTGATGCTTTTGATTTATAATTTTCTGAGGCACTCATTGGATTCTTTTGTAGATTATATATATAAATCCACCTTATAGAGACTATCTGATTTCTACATCCTGCCCACCCTTTTTCCTAGGAATTTCTACTAAGGAAAACTACTACTAGCTATAATCCTATTCCCCCCAAAAAAAAGCATCAACATACACTGCAGTGATAATTTATTTAAAAAATAAAAATCAGATTTTTGGTTAACGTATATTAATGATCGTGAATTTGATGATTGAGGCGTGTAAGTTACCAAGATAACGTTCGGTGAAGTCCATGTAAATTTGTCCAAGTTTATTCTATCTCATACGTTATGAAACAAAGTTTTGAAATGACTAGGAATAAGGCGTGTTTAGTTGCTTGCTTTATTTTTTTTTTCTGGAACAATGAACATTTTGCATGTTAGGCAAATTTTTTTACCAGAGTGGCTAGATTTTATCAAAATGCCACGCCCCATATTTCGTTATATTGTGTAGTTAAATATGTTTGCATATAATTCGTTACACAGTGTAGCCAAATATGTCATGTTAGGCTGCACAGTCAGCAAAAATGACACGTGTCAAGTAGGCAGAAATTCGCTACATAGTGTAGCGAATTATATGCAAACATATTTCGCTGCACAGTGTAGTGAAATATGTCGCATGATATTTTGACAAAATTTACTGTTGACGTGACAGTGACAGTTTGATAAATTTTTTTGCCAAGACATGACAAAATGATCACTCTCCCTTTTTTTCTTAGCCGTGAATAGATGTGCAATAATTGAGAATAGCAACTAGGTCAAATGAAAGCTTAAATCATAGGTAGCGGGGCCCAAGTAAAGCGCGTGGATATTCATCAATTGGTTACGGTAGTCATATCATAGCATTTAAGATTATATTATACCAAAACTGAGAGCATAGTCAAAATTCAAATGCTGTGTGGCCGTGTGGGTGCTAGTCCAGTTTAGCTGTTTATGGACAAAGCAAAAACTCAATAGGTTGTGTTACATTTTTCGCACTGGTTGCGTCATATGATTACAGATGGAGGGAACTCAATTGATTATATTTATATGCATGAGCATGATAATTGGGAAGGGATGGGGCTGAAGCTGAAGGTACGTTGACAAGGCAAATCAATTATTGTTTCTTTTGATACATAAATTATTTGGCATGTCAGTTTTCTGACTGGACATTGTCGAATCAATGGGATACTTATTGAACCTTTTAGCTCTGCTTCACGGAGGCCCTCTGCTTTTTTCTCAATCATGGATGATGGGGTTGTTTTCCGAAGGCAATCAATTAATTGGACCAAAAAAGATAGCCAGAATAAGATGAAGAAAGAATGGCCCACCAAAAGAATCAAATTTCATGTCTAAGCTAGTTACGGATTAAAATCATTAACATAATTATTAAGGATTGGTCCACTTAGTGACCTCATTAACTGACTTTATGGAAAAAAAAATTAAAAATTTCTCATGAAGTTTCTGATTTTTCTGTGTTTATGAAAAGTCATATACTCAATTGATTAATCTGACTTCTAAAGAACCAGCGACTTGAGAAACCGTGTGATTGTGGAATCAATGTAAGTTACAGTTTTTTAATCAGATAATATTATGACGAGACAGGGATTTAAAAATATTTTTCATGCATAGTTATTAAAAGAGTAAATACCTTTTTTTAGTCCTTAACAAATTTTACGATGTCCGCTTTAGTCCCTAACAAATAAAAAGGTTTATTGTAGTCCCTAAAAAATTCAAAATGGACTCATTTTAGTCATTTTGAGGAACTAATATGGATCTTTTTTGAATTTGTAAGGGACCACGATTTTAACTAAATGGGTTCACTTTGAATTTCTTAGAAATCACGATGGACCTTTTTATTTGCTAGGGACTAAAGCGGGCATCGTCAAATTTGAATATTTACTCTTATTAAAAAAATGTATTAACAATATTAGCTAATGGTCAATTGATTTTATTAGTTTGAAAATTATTGGAAAAAAAATTAAAAATGCGAATCTCCAATGTACAATGTGCATTTTATTATGATAAAAAATTGTCTCAAACTCTTGAAAATTTCGCCTTTTCTTATGATTACTCTTTCTTTTATAACAATAGAAAAATTTATATGACGACTTTATTGGAAACTCAAGCTTTTAAAAAAGTGAACTCTCTTTAGTTAATTAAGCTAATTTTCTAATTAGCTTCATTGATTTAGTTGTTGAATAATAAATGGAATTGCGGATTTCAATCTACATTCTATGTTGAACCTCCGACTAACCTGAGATTTTCATAAACTCACAAATTAAGCTAATTTTTTAATTTTTATATCTGATTTTTACGACCAAAATGTATCGTACCACACTTATAAATCATATGCACTCTTTTAAATTATATTTTATTTTAATGTCGTTTCTATAAGTTTTAAGTAAATACATTGTTTTAATGTCATTTCTATTAAAACTTTAAGTTAATTTCTTATTTGATTGATTCATGGAAAGAAAAAAAAAAGTTCAATGTCATTTTTTAATAAAAAATCACTAGATTAAAAAAGTATTACACTGAACCAAAACAAATTCAATTATTGTGTATGTAATTTGGTGCGGTTTTTCAATTAGAAATAATTAGGAAATTATTTCTCAATATAAGGAAAACAATATTTAATTATTTTGGTGAAAATAAGGAAAGAAGGGGAAGATGAATTAAAAGGAAAAATATCCTTATTGTTGTAAAATATTGGGACAATGATCACAATGTCACACTATTCATAAAAAATTACCTGAATGTCACGGATTGAAATTTTTTTTCTTCAAAATGTCACGTCACCTAACTTGCTACAACACCTAACAAGTTAGGTGCGGATACGTGGCAACAGGTTCATGGTCACTTAAGTCATTGCAAAGTGCAGCGAGATTACGTGGCAGACAGTATGTCAAACTCACTATGCTGCATAGCATGTTACGTAACAATTTGGCGTGTTACGTGTAAACTCACTATGCTGCATAGCATGTTACGTGTCTAACACGTGTCAAACTCGCTCTATTGCATAGCATGTTACGTGTCAGCTTTTCTGACACGTGGTCATACATGCTGTGTTGCATAACATATTATGTGTAAGTAGTTCAGCAGTCCAACCTTTTTAGTCTAATAAATTAAACTAAATTAATTAACAGACATAAATTTAATTTAATTCATTAACACTCCTAAATTAAATTAAATTAAATTACTTAACATAAACTAAATTAAATTAAATTAATTATTACTCTTAAAAGTAATTAATAATAGTTCTAAAATTATTTAAATTAATATAGATAAAAAAAAACTTAATTAATTAACAAACATAAATTTAATTTAATTCATTAACACTCGTAAATTAAATTAAATTACTTAACAATTCAAAAAAAATTAACTTAACATAAACTAAATTAAAAGAAATTAATTAATACTCCTAAAAATAATTAATTAATAGTTCTAAAATAATTTAAACTAATATAGAAAAAATTAAACTAAATTAATTAACAAACATAAATTTAATTTAATTCATTAACACTACTAAAGTAAATTAAATTACTTCATCAACATCAACAACACATTTAATCCAAGTTAATTGGGGTCGGTGGTAGATAAATCTAATGATAGATAAGAGAAAAATAAAATAAATAAATAACAATAGAATAAAATAAATAAATAAAAAATAAATAAATAAATTTTTTGGGAAAAGGGTAAATAAGATAAAAGATAAGAAGGGGAAAAGAAATAGAGAGGGGTTGAAGAGAAAAAGTACTAAAAATGGATCATCTGAAACATAGAAATAACAACAGGTTTAACCTTCCACCCTACTTGTAGCTTTTATCCATTCCGTCCTAAGACACATTATCCGTCAATCTATATCTCACTCCATTAAATCTTGTTTAACTACATTTACCTAGGTAAGTCTCAGTCTACCTCTACCTCTCTTTGTACTTAACAGTTAAAAATAATTTAACTTAACATAAACTAAATTAAATCAAATTAATTAACACTCTTGCATTAAATTAAATTAATTAAGACACATAAATTAAATTTAATTAACAGTCCTAAATTAATTTCTCTAACATAAATTATTTAAAACTAAAACATTAAAACCAATATTAATTTTCCTTAAATCATTTTATTTCAAAATACAAAATTCAATAATTAAAATTATCCTATAATTTATTAGACCATAAATGATGCAAGAAATGGGGGGAAATGATGAATTTATTAGACTAAAAATGCTGGATTGCTGGGCTACCTACACATAATATGCTACCGAGCATAGCATGTACGGCCACGCGTCAGAAAGGCTGACACGTAACATGTTATGCAGCGTAACGAGTTTAACACATGCTAGACATATAACACGCCAAGTTGACATGTAACATGCTATGCAGCATAGCGAGTTTGACACGTTGTCTGCCATGTAATCTCACTACATTGTGTAGCAGCTTACGTAGCCATGAACCTGCTGCCACGTGTCCACACGTAACTCGTCAGGTGTTGTAGCGAGTTAGGTGACGTGACATTTTGAAAAAAAAAAAATTCTGGTCCATGACATTCAGGTAATTTTTTGTGAATAGTGTGATATTCTGATCGTTGTCCCTAAAATATTCATGTGAATGACTATTTGGTTTCTCATGACTGTTGATATATCTTGTAACCCCTATATTAATGGTAACTAAAAATGTAACTCATGACTCTTGATATACCTTGTAACCACTACACTAATGGTGACTTTAAGTTTAATTATTCCTCGTTCATATCCCTATATATACACCCTATATATACATTAGAGAAAAGATATATTTATCACTAAAAAAGTTTACAACCAACCTAATTACCGTTGATTTCCGTCAATCTAACGGTATAATTTATTGGAAATTATTTGGTCGCATTTATTAATAAATTATTAATTTTGTGATAAACTTTTTTGGTGATAAGTATATTCTGCCCCTATACATTATACATATACATGAAGCTAATGAAAATTAGAATTAGAATTATGTCCCCTTTGTCTTCTCTACTATTTGTCTTTGTGTCTCTCCCCTATCTCTTTCCCTCTATTTTATAACACTTATTATAATCTGGATGATTTTTAAATAGAAAGAAATACGGGAAAAAACGTCACCCCTTTAATTAAATAGTTATTAAATTATATATATATATATATATATATTTTTTTTTTTTGGTACATTGTCAGGAGGTATCCCCATTCAACCTTCTCCGGGCACCATGCCCTCGGGGTACGGCCCGTTTGGGCTAGCCCCTCATTGTAACAGTGGTGCACTAAGCTTCGCAACCGGAGAAAGGACGAGACTAATCCCCAACCGAAGATTTTTGGCTTATCCTCTGGCCCCCAAAGATTTTCCAAGAAACTGCTTGAGGCAGGGTTTGATCCCTGCACCAAGCAATCCCTTGGGAGCTCAGCTGCCAACTGAGCTACCCTTGGGGGTTAAATTATATATTTTTTAACTTATGCTATAAGATAAAATTATATTTCGGACTCTAAAGAATATACTCTTTATCAATTTATTGTCCTAAAAATAACGTTTATCAACCTTATTCATAACTTTTTCATCTATATTTTTTTTGGTAGTTTTTTTTTCCGTCTATTTATTTGAACGGAACAGCGTTAACTTTTTTTTTTTTTTTTTTGGGATACAAGGAAAAAACAGCAAAGCTAGAACCAGTGGCGGACCCAAGCAAGTTTATTTATGTCTGCACATTTAGGGATGGGGGGTTCGATAGCAATGCACCCGAATTTTTTTTAAAAGAAAGTTTTAAATGTGTTACAAAATAAAATAATATAAACAAAAAAAGAAAAGAAAAGAAAACTTGAACTTACTACAAAAATAAAGTATCTTTTGGGTTCTCAACAAAAATCACGGGACCCAATTTAATCCCTTAAAAACAAATTGACTCGTGATCCCTCTGAATTTTAAAATAGACCAATGTTAGTCTTTTTGAGTAACTAATGTAGGTCTTCTTTGAATTTCAGAGGAACTACGATTTCGACTAATCGGGTCTATTTTGGAATTCAGAGGGACCGAGAGTCGACTTTTTTTAAGAGATTAAATTGGATCCTCTAATTTTAATTTTTGTTGAAGAATCAAAATATACTTTTTTTTTTCAAAAATTTGTGTGTGCACTTACACACACTTGCACCAATACAGGTCCGCCGGTGGCTAAAACCTACAAAATCTTGTACTACAAACTCCCATGGGTCTCTACTTAAGATTTCTCTGCAAACTGATGGAGGATGCTCCGGTATATGAATATTCCAATAATCAAAAGTTTTAGAATAGGCTCCACTCCAATCAACTAATATGTTGCCTTCCCGCAAGGTATGGGACACAACCGTATGCCAGTCCCTCTAAGAATTGTCTGATCTTTGAAACTATAGGAGCCATAGAATGATGTTCTTGGCAGCTATTGTTGATTAAAACTGTTAACATAACACGACATTCAATGAGAGTTTGGTAGAGGATAAATTTTTTATTGTTCGGAAATCCTAAATTTTAAGAATATGGTGAAAAAGTTAATTTTCCAGAATATTACCAAAAAACTGTTTAATAGTTTAAAATATGAGGAAAGATCTGTTTACAAACTTTTTTTTACAGATTACACTGAGTTTGACCGGTCATATACTCTTGATTGAAGTATGACTAAGTCTGACCAGTCATACATTCTTGATTGAAGTATGACCGGTCAGACATAGTGTAGTGTGACTGGTCATATACCCTTAATTGAAGTATGATTAAGTCTGAGCGGTCATACATTCTTGATTGAAGTATGACCGTTCAAACATAGTGTAGTTTGTAAACAAAAAGTTTATAAATATAACATTCTTTTAAAATATTACTAGAATTTTGTATAAAAAAAATGTAAAATTTTCCCAAAATTCCAAGAATACTATCTTTTTAGTGGTATTCTTTAATGACATTTTGGAAGAAAAATCATACACAAAACAAAATTTCAGAGAAAACAAAATTTCAGAGAAATCAAAATTTTGAAAAAATATTCAAAAAACTTATACTAAATGTAAGTAAATAGAATTAGAGTTTAATTTTTCTCTCCACAAATTTTTCTCATACAACACGAGAAAAATAAAATCCATAGAATTATCAGTATCACTTTCTCCAAAAATTTCCCCCTTCCCGAACACCCCCTGCCAAAAATAAAATAAAATGGCATCATATGCTGGCTCAATGAATTCCCCACCCTTCGTCCTCCCAATGTTTTCTGTTGGTTTTTGTTTGGGGCTATGCCCCTTATTGTTATAAAAAGAAAGAAAGATTGGAACGTAACTTTCTATAAAAAAAAAAAAAAAGAAGAAGATTGGAACGTAACAAACAGTGACTATACTGTACACATTAGAGGAGGGCAAACCTAATGTTTTGAATACATTTAGTGTGCGTTTTATTTAGTATTTTATTTATTAGGTGTTAAGAAGATGTTATATGAATATATTGAAAAAAATTAGTTCTAACAAATTCACTTTTTTTTTATTTTTTTGAAATTTAATTTGTTCACTTATCATATTTAATTTTTACAAACCAAATTGAATCAAATCGCACTTTTAAATAATTTACAAACTTTTAATTACTTTTTCTTTGTTTTAGATATATTTAATATATGGGTAAAGGATTTCTCCGGTCAATGGAGATAAGTTATCTCCAGTGAACTCAAAATGACGTCGTTTTGGAACGAAAATCAATGTGTTTTTGTAATTATAATATATTGCAGGGTTATTTTAGTCTTTATCATTATAATTTTTTAATCTTATAACCTCAAAACGACGTCGTTTTGAGCTCATTGGAGATAACTTTATTTCCAGTGACTAGAGAAATACTTTTTTCTTAATATATTTCTAATGGGATTAACATTTCTTCTGCAATAGCAAATAAAAGCATTTTCTCCTACTTCAAAACAACGTCATATTGAGGTTTTAAAAAAAAATACAGAATATTTTAGTAAAATTCATAGGGAAAAGTGTTTGTACTTTTAAACGACATAATTTGTGTTATTTTACTCTCACAAAGAGGTGAGACCAACACATTTATATTTTTTTGTCAACTCTCCTTCCTCCTTTATCTATCTCTTTCTCTCACTTAAAATGACACAACTTTACATCCTTTAAAATGATACACACTTTTTCCAAATTCATATTATAAGTGAAAAGTAATTTTTTTTAAATTCTCTATATATTTTTTTAAACCCAAAAGTGATGCCATTATGGAAATTACAGGAAATACATTTATCATCTGTTGTAGGAGATTTTTTTTCCATTTTTTATTAAACCCATTTTATTATGTATTAGGAAAATAATTTATGTGATGCCTTTTACATTTTGATTAATATATTTAATGCATTTATTTTCATTTTATACTATCTTTTTTTAGTATTAAGAAGATCTTTTATGAATAAATTGAAATCCATTAATTTTTTTTCATTTTAAAAAGATCTTTCAATTTTTATTTATTTATTTTCATTTTCCAATTCATTCTCTTCGTTTTTTAGTTTTTCGTTGTCTTAATTTAACCCATCCATACCTCAAACCTGAATATCCAACGAGTCCATACCTCAAAACAGTTCTCTTGATAGAATGTGGGCAAAACAAAGGAAGTAGCTCTCTATAAACAGACGGGCTCACACTTGGGCCAGCCCAATCAATCACTTTCGACATAGAAGAGGATACGTCACGTGCCTAATGAGCATGACACGTGACCGACGCTAGGGTTTCTTGTTAAAACTGGGTTCTCCATTTTTCTTAGTTCTCCCCTACGCTGTCGATTTGAGGTGCATTGCCATTATCCGTTGTTGAATAGCCGGCGGTGAACAACATGGCGGACAAGGCTGTCACCATTCGAACCCGAAAGTTTATGACTAATAGACTTCTCTCCAGAAAGCAATTCGTGAGTTCTCTATTTTCCACACACTCTTTTTTTTTTCTCGTGAACTAACAGATTTTAACTGATTAACCGATCTGAATTCTGTTTATTGTGTGATGCAGATCATTGATGTCCTTCATCCAGGGAGGGCTAACGTTTCCAAGGTACTTTTTTTTTTTTTTTTAATTTCTGAAATCCCGTAATTGATAATTTCTTACTTTAGCAGCTGAAAATTAGATTTATGATTTGCTATTGGTTGAAAATTACATTACCTCGCGTTATTATTTTGTTGTGTTTTGGCATGAAGGCGGAGCTAAAGGAAAAACTGGCAAGAATGTATGAGGTGAAGGACACTAACGCTGTATTTGTCTTCAAGTTCCGAACTCATTTTGGAGGTGGCAAGTCAACTGGTTTTGGTTTGATTTATGATTCTGTTGAGAATGCAAAGAAGTTCGAGCCCAAGTACAGGCTTATCAGGGTGAGCTGACTCATCTTCTAGTGTGATTTTATTCGTAACTTTTTTTCCCCTTTTTTATTGGATGATCTTTATTTAAAATACTATAGCACTTCTTAGTTCTTATAGTATCATTGCTCCTATTTTTCCAATTACTTTCCCTTCTGTGTTTTTTTTGGGGAGAGGAGGGGTCGTTGGATTGGAGCAGTTGCAATTGCTAGTGATTAAAATACATGTTTCTTATGTTGTTATAAGCTGTAACATCATAGTCTTTTAGGAAAATTGATTTGAATGAGTGTGCATATCAGAATTTGTTAAGTTTTCTGACAAATTTTGAAGTGCTCTGTAGTTGGGGATGGTGACTGCTAAACATCTTAAATACTGCCATGATATCCTCGGAATAGTTTGTAGGGGCTAATAGTTCCTTTCAATGTTGTATATGATTAATTGCACCTTCACTACTTTCTACTTACAAAAATTATTGTCGGCAGCACATTTTGCCTGTGAATCTAGTAGCTGAATCTTCCCATCTTTATTATTGTTATTATATCTTGTCATGTATGCCTTTGTTATTTATCATATTTGAGAATTAGAACTGTTTATTTTCATTTCTTTTAGCTATTTCCGTCTAAGCCTAGGGTGCTTTGTTTTGTGTGATCAAAACTAAAATATCTTCTCTCTATTTCAGAATGGACTTGATACTAAGGTAGAAAAGTCAAGGAAGCAAATGAAGGAGAGAAAGAATAGAGCTAAGAAGATTCGTGGAGTAAAGAAGGTAATACAATCAGTTGTGTCTTGTTGACGATTGTTTACCTCTTGTATCATTCTTGTTTTATAAAAGAATAACCTCTGGTATTTGTTATTTTTGCAGACCAAGGCTTCAGATGCTGCCAAGGCTGGGAAAAAGAAATGAGTTGAGACATCCTGTTCTGATTTTAAAGTTCTATTGCTATTGGTATTTTCCAATGGCTATTTTATTTTCTGATAGCTTCCTAGAATGAAATGTCTTGCAGTAAGTGTTGATCATACTTTAATTTATGTTCAGTTATAACTTGTGATTGAGTGCAAGCAGTGAGCAATTTTGAGAATTCGGTTGAACACTTCCATTTGTTTTCAAATATTAGTAGAACGTCATTTATTTGTTCCGAAAGGATTTTAAATTCCTCGTAGAAATTTATCATACTTTCATAGGCGTAGCTGATAATAATCTTCCTATAGAAATCTTTGACTGCAACTGATTTTGAAGAGTAAACTATGTTGAACCGTGTTAAAGGTATTCTATGCATGAACTGTATCGACATTGAATATGATGAGCGTTATTGCACCCATGGTTTTAATACGTTCTATAAATATTTTACAGGGTGAGATGGTCGTGTTGTATGGTTCCCTCTTGGAGCATGTTTGGATTTCCTCTATTTTTAAGTTAGAAGCTACTTTTACGTTAAAGTTTAAAAAAAAAGCTTTTTTAAAGCTGTTTTGTGATTATATAAAAAATTTAGTTTAAAGTTATTTAAAAACACACATCTCAAGAAAAGATCCCCCCTTCTCTCTCTCTCTATATATATATTTATATTTATGGCTATTTAAAAAATATATAATTTAAGGAAAGCTGCTAAGAGTTTAAAAAAAAAACTCTTTCTATGAGTTTTTAGCTTTTGATTTTTTTTTCATTATAAAAAAAATAAAATTCGTTATAAGAATTTTTTTCAAAATTTGTTTGGCGCTTCTCTTCAAACAGTACATGGTTGACGTTGCATTCTTAAACATATGCATGTCTTGATGGGTATTTTGAGTACTTTCAGTTAACAATGTTGGGGCTAAGAATGGCCTTAAGAAATTTGACGGGTGTTTTTATGAGAAATCATTTGTATTAATTCCTCATTTGAAAATTGGGATTTGGATTCTCTCCATTTACTTGAAAATTAAAACATGTTGTTTTTATAAAAAATCAATTTCAGGCCATCTTTCGCATAGCAAACTCTCTCCAATTAATATGTAAAAGGATGTAATCAAAATCGTAGGAAGTTATTCTTTTGACAAATTTCTTCGTGAATATGGGGAAATAAAGAATATCATTTTTTAGCCCTTCAATCTACCAAAAAAAAGAAAGAAGATAAGCTATTTAATTTGGTATTTTCACCCTAAAATCAAGAGGATAAGCTATTTTACTTGGTGTTATTTATTATATAGTGGACATATACTATTTATTTTTCTTAATAGCATAATTAAAAATCATTTTCATGGAACCATAGTTTAAATGCCATTGTTGACATTGTTGATTGGGCTTTAAACCTTTCATGTTGCAAGATAGGAGATATTCCATGTTATAAACAAAGAGTTTTATAAGAGTTATATTATAGAAAAAGTGATTGTCTAATGTTATAGAGATTCGTTTTGGGTGCCTTAGTTTTTATTTTTATTTTTGCTTCAAAAAGTTCGGACCCCATATTGTTCGGAGGGTCTGTAGGAAGTGTTCTCTTTTTCCAGCAACATCATACTTATATTTTCCTCATTGGTAAAATTATTAGCATATATTAGTTCCTTACAAGTGTCCATCGCTTCAACCTAATGAATTTGTGGACCAATAAAAGCATGAAATATTTTTCAAGCAAAATTAATTATTTGCTATTGTTTCCACTATCATGTAAAAAATAACAAATGAGTTTAAAAAAGTTAACAATGTAAAAGAAGAGGTAGGATGTTCTTGCTACCAATCTACTATCACTCTAATCATTATTGGATCTCACTATTTATCTAATAATTCCTGAAAAGTTTTTGAAGAGAGAAATACTACTACTCTAATTACCGTTGAATCCCATTATTCAGCCTACAATCTTTAAAAAATTTCTGAAAAAAAAAAAAAACTTTTAATATACTTCTCGAAATACATAATTATATTAGAGTGATAGTAAATTAATAATAAAAATATTTGGTAATGAATTCAAAAAAGAATTATACACCGTTTATTATTTGCCACTAAAAAACGAAAAAAGACTCGTTATGTAACTCAGGACAGAAATGAAAACGGGTTTGGCTACTGGGTCCATTGAAGTAGACAAGTAGTATTTTTTTGTTCTGCCCGGTTGGGTTATTCCAAAAAAAAGACATGAAAAAGTTGAGGTTAATTTTGACAGCTGTGTACTTGCGTGATCCATTTCTCACAAACTTCATATTGTGTTGTCTTGTCTTTTCAAGGGAATTTCGTGGTTCATTTCTCTCGCCTTCTCTTTTCTATATCCTATTTACTTTCCACCAGTTCCAGTTCCAGTTCCTCCAATACGATACCCATTCTCTAAATCCCCTCCTTGTCCTCTTATTCTTTTAATTCTGATACCATCATGGAGGATGCTGCTGCTACTACTGCTACTCCTAATGGTAAATTTCTTGATAAATCATCACTTTTGCTTCTAGTTCGGTTTCCCTTGTGGTTAATGTTTTCATGCCGAAACTGACCCTCTTCAATTATTGTCGTTATTAGTGTGTTCAATTCAACTATGCAATTCAATGTAATACTGTTACTTGCACTATGGAGTCAAAAACAGATCGTGCTTTGATTATGGATGAAAACCAGATTGAATGTTAACATTAATAAAGGAAGTAAAAATCTGAATAAAAAGAGATCAGAGCAGCTATTAAAATGTGATGCATTTTGTTTATTTTGCTTCTATCGCTGGAAGAACCTGATTGTTTGATAATTTCTTTTACCTGGCTTTTGTTATAGTGTTAGGAGCTAAAGATGGAACTATTGCTGTTGCTTCAGCATTCCCTGGTCATCAAGAAGGTATGAATTATGATTCAGAGGGTTTGATGCACCTCCTGAATAGTGGTTTCTGAATTACGGAACTACAATATTTATTTCAGTGATTTTCCTAAATTGATAACTCTTAACTCACAGAAGAAGTGTATGTGCTTGCTTAGTACCAGACATATTCTTATGTAAATTACCTTATTGGTGTCATTTTCTCTTGTTATACCAGCTGTACAGGATAGAGACCACAAATTCCTAACAAAAGCAGTCGAAGAAGCATATAAAGGGGTCGAATGTGGCGATGGTGGCCCATTTGGTGCAGTTGTTGTTCGAAATGATGAAGTAGTTGTGAGCTGTCATAACATGGTTTTAAGAAACACTGATCCCACTGCTCATGCTGAGGTTACTGCCATAAGAGAGGTTAAATTAATAATTATTATTTTTTCCATTAAGAATTTTCTTGTTGATTTGTGAAATCTGAGGCCGATCACATGCCCTCCAGAATGGATAGCTTATTAAAACAAAGAGGTTTTTGAGTTGTAACTTGTACATATCCTGCCACTGGTTTCCAATCATTGAGACAGATTAAGTGAAGGGTTGATTATACTCTTTTTGATAAGTTGTTTGGTTAGTTTTTCTTTATTTATTTGTCTCTTCCTACATTCTTAGTTGTGGCTTAAAACTGTTTAAACAGGCATCATGACACCTGGATCTGTATAACCTGGCATGTTACGCCAATAAAAAATTGGCGCTTATTTCCATTTCTCAATCAAAGTATCAAACCAAATAACCTGGAGTTTGAGCATTCTTTAATTGTTACTTGCCATCACCTATTATTTGCTGTCTCAGACAGATTTGGACCTCAAACTCTGGGAGTTTTGGAAAACACCATTTAACGATAAATTGCAGAGATTGGATGTGAGTTGAAGTTGCTAAAATTTAATTTTGTTTGGTCTAACATTAAAAACATTCATTTGACTCCCTTCATCCACGTATATATTGCTTAGTCTATATGTATGAAATCTCTGTTAAGTTGACCTAATTTTTTTTGTACAGAAAGATAGAAACCATATATATATATATATATTTGGTAAGATGCGGAAACCATCTTTATATTTCCCAAACTATATCCTTTTGTACTTATTTTCTTAAATATACAGCATTCTGGATCTCATATATGATCGGACGTTATCTGTAGGCTTGTCAAAAGCTGAATAAAATTGACCTTGCTGACTGTGAAATCTATGCTTCTTGTGAGCCTTGTCCAATGTGCTTTGGTGCAATTCATCTTTCAAGAGTTAAGGTTAGCCTTCCACCCCCACCCCCCCTAATTTTCTCCTCATGCCCACGTTTCTCTATTTTTTATTAAATTTATCACATTTTTTGTTGTGTTCATGTCCAAACAGAGATTGGTTTATGGTGCTGAAGCAGAAGCTGCAATAGCAATTGGATTTGATGATTTTATTGCCGATGCACTAAGGGGCACTGGTTTTTATCAAAAGGCCCACTTGGAGATTAAAAAGGCCGATGGTACTGGTGCTGTAATTGCAGAACAAGTATTTGAGAAGACAAAGGCCAAGTTTCCTCTGTACTGATTGCTCGAATAGTCTTTTTAAAAGTGAATGCAAGTTATAAATGTTCATGAAAATTCAGTTTCTTATTATAAATGTATTCGTGAATTCAAGAAAAATAAAATTTATGTGCTCTTATGCTGCTGTTCGTTGCAAATGATTATTGATACATCAAATTTATGAATATTCTGATTGATTGTTTGGGAGTTGCACAGGAGGGAAAGCTAGTTCAAGCCAGAGGAGGAGGCAGCTGAGCTGATACTCACTGCAATGAATCTACAAATGACAAGCCCATCGTGCAAAACAGCAAAAGAATCCAAGTTTCTCATTCATATATAATTAGATTTCATGTCTGCAGTGCTAGAGCTATTCTACTCTTTCATGCTACAGATCATTGCAATATATGTATGGAAGAAACCACCATCTATTTCTGCACATCTGGGTAGGTTTTTGAGTAGAATAAAAAACCTCAATCATCCTCAGCTAGACCGCAGCTCCTCTAACCTAGCCTTGATCTGATCCTGCAACAACTCCAACCTATTCAAATACACCTCCAGCTCCAAAATCCTACGCTTTCTCCTTTGCTCATTGCCTTCTTCCCCAGGGCATAATGGCATTGGGATCGGTGCTAACTCGCCAAGTGTCCCTTCCCGTGCATCATCCAACAGTTCCTTCAGCAATGGTGAGAAACAGGACGTCATAGTTTCTTCAATGAAGCCCTGTATGCTACTAGTAGTATCTGTATCACCATTGTTCTGGTCATTTGTTCTGTTCAAATCATCTGTGCTTAACCGCGACCGCTTTGGCACCCTATTGTCTATTTCATCACAATTGTCAACTTGTTCAGTCTTCACCTTAACATGACTTTCAGGAATGGGTGATTCATCACCATTCAAACAATCTGTGTCTATGTCATTGCCCCAAATCCTGTGGGAAATTTCGAAAATAGTCTGTTCGTGGAGGTTTTTGAAAGGAACCTCCTTGCCTTTGTCCAAAGCCATCTTGTGTTTTCTCTTTAACCTACGCAGCTTCTCAACAAGCTGGTTCCTGTTGAAATCCACGTTCAGTTTGGGCTTCAAGTGATCGTACAACGAAGCTACATCATTTTGGAGAGAGGTGGTTGCTCTTCGGTTCTGGTTGATGTAATCCAGATATCCCTTCAACAGTTCCATTTCGTCATCCTTCGTCCATAGCCTCTGATATTGTCTCACGGTGCCAGAATAGTTGGTGGTGCGCTGTCGTTTTGAGCGTGTTACCATAGGGGTGGCGGTGATGGCCCCGGGGAAGGCCACCGTCACGGCGGGGGAGCCATTGGGAACGGGGAGCGCAAGAGGAATGGTGTCATGGACATCGCAGGAACTGAGAAAATGGTCATTCTCGTCGTCTTCTGCATTGTCGTTATGGTCTTTCTCGTCATCTTCCACTTTGTCGTTCTCGATTATATTATCGTTTTCATAGTCTGATTCGTCAGTGATAATGTCAAGGCTTTCTTCTTCTGATGAGGAGGAGGAAGAGGAGGAGGGCGACAAGATCCAAGAAACCAACGGCGAAAGCATTTTTAAGGAGACACCAGACATCTTTTTTCGCTCTATTAGAGTATCAAACCAACTGTTTGTTCGTTGATGGTAGTTGTGCATTTACTATGAATAGAATGCATTCCTATAATCCCCACAATTATAAAGAGAGAGAGAGAGAGAGAAAAAATAAAACTATCTCATTATAAATGCACATCCATAAATTTCAAATTCAGATAAAATACAAGAAAATAGAGCTTGACTTATTACAAAAACAATACTTACTATGATTTCGTTTTGAATATTAGTTGTTAAACCAAGGCAGTCATTTCTGCCTAAAATAATAACAGTAATATTAGTAGCACGTACTTTGATCATGTTTCTATCATTTGATTATGTTTGATCCTATTAGAACTTTTATGTTTTTTTTTTAACTAACCTGATTGTGTAAAAGATCTCAATCATTCATTCTTAAATCAACTATAAGCAATTAATTTGATATTTTTTACTTCACAAATTTGTTCATTAAAAATTGTGATAGTTGATTTACAAATCAACTGATGAGATCTTCTCTCCAACCAGGTCATGCGAAATTTCCATGTGAAAATATTCACTCCCTTTTTATTCAAATTCTGTAACCTCTTATGTTCAAAAAGTTAAATTCTGTAACCTCACTGATGTGATAAATATGAGAAACCAAGTGATGTGCAACCAGCATTTTATCCTAAATGCTTACTACAAATTTTTTTTATCTCGTGGATTGGTGTGATATCGCATCTTGCTGTACATTCATCGTAATTTATTTATTTATTTTTTCGGTAAATGGTCGTAATTTTAGATCGAAGATTTGTCCAAAAAGAAGATACTGATTGAGATTAAGAATGCGTTTGGATTGCCTTTAAAAAAAAGTTACTTTTATGCCCTACTTATTTTAAAAGTGCTTTTTATTAAAGTTAAAACTATTTAGATTTTTAAAAACATATTTGTTTTTTGAAAAAAAAAAATTAGCTTTTGACTTTTACTTTTTTGAGAAGCTAAAATTGTTAGCTTCTGAAAAAAGTAAGTTTTTGATTTTTTTTATGACTTCTGCTTTTTTTAGAAGTAGCATCCAAATGCACCTTAAAATAAAAGTGTTTTTTTTTTGGAAAAAAAAGTAATTTCTGACTAAAAAAAAGCTCATCTAAACGGGTCCTAAAGAAGAACGAGAATTGAGCAACAAAGATGGAATACCATTTCCTTGAAACAGAGAAGAAAAATTTTATTATCCATTGTGATTTGTGAAGTAAAACCTAACAAAAAAACAAAAACAAATCTAGAGCAGGTATTCCATCCCCTAACTTTCAAATGAAAATATTATAATAAGAAAAAATAATCTGATGCCTTATATTTTACAACCGTTGGATTAAAAAAAAAATGTTATACAAGAAAAAAAAAATCCTTTTAGGCGATGGAATATCCTTTTAAAGCGTTTCGGAGTGGAATATCCTTCCCCCTTCCTCAACTCCTTTACAACCGTTGGATATTTTTACAACGGTTTTTGCATACACATTTTTTATTTTATTTTTTCTGACTCTCCAAAATCAGTTTCCCTGTTATTTAGAACTCAAAATCGAGACTCACCCAACAACTTTTATGGTCGAGTTTTACGTTGAATCTAGAAGTTGACTTTTAAAAAATGGATAATTAGTCGACGAGTCATATTAATGATACTTAGTAAAGAGTAAATAAATATTTCATACAAAATATAGCATTTCAGATATTAAAAATTAAAAGTTTCTTTTTTGTTTAATGCTTTTTTTTTTTTTTGGTAATCTAATGCTTTTTTTTTAAATCATATGTAAGTGCGTCAATAACATTTTTTTAAAAGTCCACTTGTGTATACCTTAAATAATAATAGTTAAATAAGTGATTAGGTGGAATAGAACACGTCAGTAGTGGGGATAAATTCCTACAATACTTCATTCTCTATATATCTCTCCAATAAAAATTAAATACCAATACTGATTGATGATATAAAAAAAAGAGAAATATTATCTTAAATACAAGTGTAAGAAGATGAATAACATTAGTAATACATATTACTCTTGTATTAAAAATGAGCTCATAGTGGGGAGTGAAAAAAACTTTAATGCATGGGAATCATCGAATTCGATATTCCCTTTTAATAAAAGGGAAAAAAAATTATTTATCTTTAAATCTTCAAAATAAATTATTTTTAATAAAAAAGATATCGATGGATTAAAGTTTTTTACCACCGGAACAAATATAAAATCAGAAAGAAGTTCCAAGGTTTCAAGTTTCAACTGCCAGCTGGATAGGATAAATATACGTACTTGACACAATCTCTATTTTGACTTCTATAGCCCAAATCCTGCAACAAGTGAAAGTAAATTGTGTTTCAATTAAGTCTAAGCACTTCTTATATATTTTAAATAAGTTTATGGGTTTTATGTTTATCATTTAACATAATATAACTTCACTTTTCTACACACACATTAAAGAAGTGGAGTCCACATATTTTTTTTTCTCTTTCATCATTCCACTTTCTCTCTCTCTTTTGATGTGAGAGTTGGAAACAACACTTACATTATGTTACATAATACTAATAAAACCCTAACTTTATTATAGCTTTATTTATTTGAATTAAATAAAAATTTCATGTGTGGCAACTTGTTTGGTTTAGGTAAGTTGGTCCACCACCTAAACGGCTAAACCACCCTTTCATATTCTCATTCTCATTCTCAAGTTATTCCAATTTCCAACCAAGTGAAGTGACTCCAATAACAAACCAAATCCCGTGAGCACTGGCCACGCGCTTAGCCTAACTAACCAGCTCCCCTTGCTTCTTCAACCCCCTCTCTCTCTCTCTCATGGCATCCGAGCCAAACGATGCAATTTTCCCCGAAGAAGATCTCGACGACGACGACGAAACTCTAGAGGAGGAGGAGGAAGACGACGACGACGACGATTTAGGGGAACCAGAAGACGACCAACAAACCGAACCTTCTGCTTCCGCCCTCGCGGTGCCCTGGTCCGCCGTCTCAAACGGCGAAAACGCGTCGATTCCGATGGCCACAATTGTCGTCGCCGACTCCTCTGAGCCAAAACGGCAGCGGACGGAGCAAATCGAAGAGAAGAAGGCGTTGGACGATTCGCGAAGACTGTTCCAGCGTCTTTGGACGGACGAGGACGAGATCGGGCTGTTGCAGGGGTTCCTGGAGTACACGGCACAACGAGGATCCTCGCACCACAACGACACCGCTCTGTTCTACGATCAAATCAAGTCAAAGCTTCAGCTCGGTTTCAACAAGAACCAGCTCGTCGAGAAGCTGCGGAGATTGAAGAAGAAGTACCGCAACGTTATCGACAAAATCAGCTCCGGCAAGGAGTTTTCCTTCAAGAGCCCTCACGATCAAGCTACATTCGAAATCTCGCGCAAGATCTGGAGCAACACGGTTCCAGTCGCCGGTGCCGTCGAAGATGACGACGAAATCAAGCCTCACTCTAACCCTAACCGTAATTTCGGTAATTCAATGTCGTGGAAGAATGAGGCGACGACGGAGAAGAAAACCCCGCCGCGGAAGCGGTCACGGTCTCGATCGGGGATGAAAACGGAGGAGAAGAAGAATGATGGTTCAGCGTTGAACAAAGATAATAATTGTATATGCAATAATAATAATGATGATGATAATTACAATCATAACAATAATAATACCAATAATTACAAAAGTAGTTATAGCAATAACATACAGGGTTTGATTGAAGAGAAGGTGAGAAGTTGTTTGTCGCCAGTGTTGAAGGAGTTGGTGAGTAGTGCCATGGGAAGAGGGTTTGGAGTATTGAATCCCATTCCCATGCCGTCGAATTTATTGACTTTGGGGATTGGGGAAGTGGTTGTAGATGATGACAAGTGGAGGAAGCAACAGATTTTGGAGCTGGAAGTGTATTCCAAGCGTTTGAAACTGGCCCAGGATGAGATCAAGGTTACTCTGGAGGAGTTGCGATCAGTTGATGCTGGAAGATGACACAAAATGTATAACACAGCTTTTAGTTTTGTTGATAGTTTTTGGTTTTACTTTATCAATGGTTGATAGATAGGTTAGCTAAACAGCTAGTGATTTTCTTGAGCTTTTAGCTTTTGATGATCGCATACAACAGTTGTTCAATAAAATGTTCTAACTTTTAAGTCTCCTGTAGAATTTTCCCCTTCTTTGAATTATGATTTTCTTGTACATGTATGTACATATAGAATGCAATGAATCGGTACACGATGAACGGGATTGTATTTTGATGTGTTGTAAAATAAGCAATTGTGAGTGAATATTCTTACAAAAGGAGAAGTTGCTTTATTTTTACAATTAGGTGGCGTTTGGTAGATGGTTTCTGATGGGATGGATGGATAAGTGAGAGTTAGATATTATTAATACCATGTTTGGTAGAGGGTTAAGAAAAATAAAACTAGGCAACCTTATTACCGATGCAAACTCAAGTTGTGTGTAAATTGATGTTAAAAATACTGTTTGCAAATACCACCTCAGAAGACTAGGGAAGTGAAAAAATTGGCACGATATTGTAGACTGAAATGCCCCTCATCTCAAAATTTCCCTCATCCAAATGTAATCTGAGACTATGTTGGTAGGAAAGACAGAGATATGGATGACGGAACACGTTGAAAGAAAGATCTATTTCTATTGACATTCAAAAATTAAAAAGGGGTTAATTTGATAATTTTAACCCATTTACCCATCAATATTTTATCTTCAATCAAATATAGACTTATAAAATTCTATCCAATTTCTTTGGTCAATTTTTGGCCAACCAAACAACTTTTTTTTTTAATTTTCTTACCAAACTTCATTTCTCACTATATTTCTAGTAATTACATTTTTCTAGTAAATTTTTTTTTTCCCTCCAAACGTCCCTTGCTATCACCGCTTGCCTTTGGGTTTTGTACTTTATGAGTTTTTGTATTTTGGCTTTATTTTGTACTCTTGAGTATGACCGCAATGGCATTTTCTAAACTTCAACATCTGATACTGTCATATTTAAGAAGGCTGTATCAGCTAGTATTATGAGTGCGATCAATTGTGATTTTTCTGTTCATACTGCAGGTATTGAAAATTATTTGCTACAAGAGAAATTTTTTGGTGATCGGGAATCATGATTAATGGGAATACAGTAGAAATTGAGTTTACTTGGAATCTTACGAAAAAGGTGTTTGGTTCGTCAAAATATTACCGGGAATATTGGGTAAAAATTACTGATTCCATATTTGGTTTAGAACGAAATATGACTTGGAATACGAGTTATTTTACAAAAATAACCCCACACTATTTTTACTTTTGTAATTGATAGATTGGGTCTAGATTTTTATGTGTATTGGGATATTTTTGTCTCAAAATTTATTGTTGTGCTTTCCCTTTACTTGGTATTCTGATTGGTATTCCGAATTACCATATTATTTTTGGTAATCTGAACAGTGACTTTTCTTTATAAATCAAATTACCAGTAATCCTTGGATATCCGGGAATCGTAATTTATTCCTTCTACCAAACGTGGTAATTACATTTACCAAAGAAGGATTACCGGTAATCCTCTTCAAAAACTTGAAACAAACACCCCTTAAAGTTGTTTTTTATTTATTTATTTGAATTGCAATTAGGGGAAATTCCTGCTGTCATTTATTTTATTTTATCTTTTGCGGGGGTCCATTGCTGTGGCCTGTCAGTTATTTGTTACTAGTTGATTCTGGTAGAGTTTTAATGTGCAGTACATTTCTGCCTTTCCACCGAAAAGGGGGTGAAAATTAAAAGGAGGGAGGCAGGGGAAAGGGTTGAAACAAAGGTTATTTATCTCTCATTCTGATTTGTTCAATGATTAGTTTATCCGATACCCAATGTTTCACCACCATTTCAACCTCCAAATTTGAAATTCGAAAAATATATTAATGACAGTGTCAATCACATGGCAAATAAGATTCTAGCAAAACAAATTGTATAATAGGATTAATATTTGTCATATGTAGGAAATAATTTTATTTCTTACACAAATAAAAAATATATGAAGCTCATGTGAGGTTATTCAAAAAGAAAAGAAAGTAAAATATGGACCACACACGTAAATGTATACAATTTTTTTCCTTGGAATGATTGAGTTGAACAGTGAACTTCACACTATCATAGAAGTTCAGCGGTACTTTCGATATAAACTATAAGTCATTTAGTAGAAGGAAAACTCACATTGAGAATCTTAGTACACGAATTTTTAATAAAATTATGCAAATTAAAATTGTGAATAAGAATCTTATGAAATTGTATCATTAAGATCTATAAGTCCACTATGTTTCCTTTAGGGATGAATCACTGTATAGATAATACTCTTAGTTTAGGTACAGACTAGGCTAAGAGGTATTGTGCCAAGTGCAGGCAAGCAATCAACAATGGATAGGTAAATGATAATAAGACTTAAAGTTAATAGGCAATATCATGATACATAATCCCTTTCATGGTGTCCCCCCGGGGCTCTTTATAAAGGAGGGTTGTGCGCATCCGATGTAGGTTGGTGGGGAGAAGGTCAACCCTCTTTGGGACTTACTACAGATAGCAGTGTTGGGTGTGACAGGCGCTGCCATTGTAGCAGCGTTGCGCTTTCTGGTGGTGTCAGCATGAGACACAAGGGGCAGTTTCCCCTTATGGCATTCGGGCGACTGCATTTGGGGGTTACAGTCCCAAGGTAGGACACTCCGGTGTTTATCCTTGGGGGGAGTTGCCATGTTGGGAGGTGCGCATCCCCCCAGTGGAAATATTTAATATGCTCCGGAACCACCTAATGATTTGGTGCTCCCTCTCACAACACTAATTTTTTCTTTCCCATTTTACCTCTGCTATTTTTCTTCTTTTCCAATTTTACCCTTCCATTCACACTAAGAGACCACCTAAAAAATGGTGGTCCCGGACCACAATAAATTCTCTCCCCCCCCCCCCCAATTGGTAGGGCTGACGTGGATGTTTGATGGGGTTGGGCCCTGACCGTTGGGCCAAACTCTCATTGGGCCATCCGGAACAGAAATAATACCATCGATGGGTGGTATTCTTGAATTCCTAGGAAATTTTTTTATATAATTGATAAGACATAAATAACTTTGCTTTAATATTTTAATGACTAAAATACCTTCTCTTGATAAAGCCCTAGCTTACTCTGCTTTACAAAATCGTGGGTTTCTCTATTCCCTTTCACAAAGCCTTCTTACTAGGTTCCTTTCCGTTTCATGTCGCTTCTCTCGGTGACCCCAACGTCACATTTTGACACTTTTATGGCATTTTAGAAAAAAAAATTCAAAAATTCATAAAAGGTTAGTTTTATAAAATCAGTCTATATTCCTAGAAATCATTGATAATCAACCAAACATAGAATTGAGATATATGAGAAATTTACTTTCCAAATATATTGTTGGAACCGGGATTCCCTAGAAAAAAAAAATGGTCTACCAAAACGCCCCATGAGATTTAAATCAATACAATTTCGCCCACCTCATCTATTTATCCAGTCCCGTCCCAAACACAAATAGTACATTCGGAAGAGCACGTCAAAGTCAAATACAATTTATATCCTCTTATGTTTAAGAATGATTATATTATTTGATTATAATTATTTATTTAAAAATTATATATATTTTTTTATTTCATCATTAATCAGTGATTAAAATCAAATGTTATGACCACGTAACTATTGTTAAACACAAAAGAATCCAAATCCAACCCAACATCTTCTTTGTCTCTCTTTCTTTTCTTTTTTTAAAAACCACGTTTTTTTTTTTTGGGTACATAAAACCACGTTTTAAAATTTAAGTAAAGCGTTGACAAAGAGAGGCCTTTGGGGCCAAACAGCAGACAAAGCTTATATAATTACTAGAGGTGTTCAAAAATTTAAATGAAAATCGAATACAAAATTGAACTGCATCGTACATTAATTTGATTTTTATACTGGATGATTTAGCTGAAAATGATTTTAAAGGTAAACCTGACCATATTATACGGATCACACACATCAAAATATTAAAACTGTTGACTTATTTATTTACTTGTTTATTATTAAATCAAATTTTATTATTATTTAATAAAAAAATATATTACTGTATGACGTTGATTTGGGATAAATTATGTGCTGTTATCTTTATAATTTTTTTATCTGGCTATATTTATAATTGTTGTTATTGCATAAATTATTATGAATGTATAAAAAATAATAATTTTAGTCTATGCTTGATTTTTCATTTTGAAATAACTCACTCAGAACCCACTTTAAAGTATTATGCAGTACGATTGAATCAAATAAGCCTTTTATTCTGCTGCCCCCGCACAAACACACACACACACACACACAAATGAATCACACTATTCAGCTTAATTTTTAAGATCGTAAACCATGAAGTAATTAGGCTCAATCAAAGCTGGCTTCGTTCCTAATAATTAGATGCTTATATAGGAAACCGTTAGCAGTTACAAGAATCTGTTACCAACCTGGAAAATATGCTTTAAAGTCAACTCACCCTCCCCAAGTCCCTTTCTTGTTCATCAACCTAATAATTGTTTCACTAGTCACGAGCAGCCGACTCCACATAATAACTTTCATATCCTATGCAACATACAGATGCTGGGAATAACAATCCCAGACAAATATTCAACATTCTATGCACATCAGGTATATACAGATTAACTGGTTAAGCAAAGCTGCTAAGCCCTACAGGATTTTACATACACAACACAATAACCTAGTTCCATGCCATGGAACTAAACACCACCTATGCTGATACCTAGACTGCAAATTGTTTTTAACACCACGCAAGCTGATATTCTCCATGGCCTATACCATTTCCATGAGTATTTGTTTAAAACTTGAAATGCAAGAAAAATTGTAAATATCTTATAGCACTCTTGCACCTTTCCGTGTCTATTCAAGGCAGGGCAGAGCAGAGCAGCACATTCACTGCACATTAGTATCATAGAAAACTTTGAACAGCATTGCTCTTCCAATTGCATTGGATATCAAATGGCAATCTAATTAATGCGCCCCTATAATAAATTATTGAACAAGGATGACCATAGAGAGCACAGCTCCAATTTGAGCAACCGGCAGAGAGAAGCAAAGGCACCTCAAACACAAGGCAAATAAAATCCACAACAACCATTATTGATTCCCATATTCTGGTGTATCTTGGGGCTGACCTGTTTTTACTTGGTAAACTTGGTAAACCTTCTTCGTATGCTTATGATAAGCTGCTGCCCCCAACGTAGCTTCCTGCTGCCCAGTATACATTCCATTCATAGGTGGCGCTTTAGTGATCCACTTTGGTGGTATTGGAGGACCCATGTTCTGCACAAATTGGGGTTGTAAATTGGTTGTATGTCTGGAATTTGGCAACCTCGAAGACCCAGGTCTTACTCCTTCCTCCATTGTTAAAGCAGAGAACCCTGTCTTCACGTTGTGGAACTGTTCTTGATGCTGTGACCTATCTCGTATCCTAAAATTCTGCCTGTCATCCTTTCCACCGTTAGATGAGATTGGATATCTAGGTCCAGTCATTATGCCATGGGGATTATACTGTCCATTATAACCGTTTGTAATCTCACCATAATATTTTCCATATCCAGAGGGTCCAGCTGAGAGCCCGTTCATTGTATGACGGACTGGAGGTTGCTCCAACAAATGGGTTGTATTATTCAATTTAATGTTAAGGGTGTTCTTGACAAGACGGTGAGCTGCTTCTCCTAGCTGAATTCCAGCTATTGCTGCAGGTAGTTGTGGCCTGTCGGATGCATCACATACAGAAAATTAAGGTAAGTAATCATTCAAAGTATTTATGTCTTATCACCCACAACAGAATGAAGACCAGGTTCCATGCATCAAGAAATTCTGAAAGCCATTGAGAACTTTCCAAGCTCCTCTATATGGATTGTCTAGATTTTACACATGCATATTACTTGGAGCAAATATTAATAATCACTTTGCACACTTTTGTCAACATATGGAAATGAGTTATAACGGTACCATAATCATTTGGAACATTACACTTAACCATCAGTTTTGGCATAGTTGTAATAGTGTATGTTTGAATCCCAGCCAGCTAGAACATGAAAAATATACTGCAGCAACCTGACATTCTCATAAGGAATAAATTCTCACCTTTCTCTGCCTTGCAGTCGCCGACCAACATTGTCTTCATGCCATAGTAAAGGATAAGGTTTAATATCAATGGCTTTTACTGTCTGCAAACAACAACAATGTCAAAGTAAGTGTAGTCTGTATTTGATCCAAGAAGGAAACAGCAGGTATCAACTTCTATTCAAAAAAGTAAAACATAATAATTTGTCCAAACATAGATGATTCTGTCCATGCCAACTATTTGAGCCTAGTTATTGACTCAAGAATCTGGTTCTGTATGAAAATAAATAAATAACAGTCATGGAACACCATCCACTGGAGAACCATTAACCTTTTAAGTCAGATGAGTATACAAACCTTCTTGGGTACTACGACACCGTCAGGAGGTTTTGCAATATGTCCATGTCTAAGAGGATTAAGATATGTAATATTTCTGAAATTCAAGGACACTCAACATGAGTTCACTGCCAAAGATTTTAAAATATTAGGTGGGTGGAGAGGACAAAACTTACAAGACTTGGTTACACTCAATATCTTGCCATCCATTGATGGGGGAAGATACAACAGTGCTGAGAACATTTCCTTCACATAACCAAAGATATCCATTCATCCCACCACTGCTAATAAAGAAACAAAACAAGCATATGAGCTTATTAAATAGATACTGGAATTCATTAATGATTAGTGACGACCACAAACATATTCAACAACCTAGCATTTTTGTCAATTGGCCAAACACATCTTTCATGTGGGGGTGATTGACTACAAACTTTGTAATACAATAAGATATGCGAAGCCAAATCATGCACACGGTTGACATAAAGCAAATCAAGCATCACACTGTTCCGAAGCTGTTCTTCCTCCTGGATATAACAAAACTGAAATTGAGCACTAAAGACACAACAAAGAGATAGCTGCTTTCATGAATTAATTTTCTGTAAAACATGAACAACTCTGGTAAAATAATGTATCTAAAAGTTATCTACCCATTTGAAACATCTATTGAAGAGTAAAAAAGATCTAAAGCAAAAATCCTCCAGCAATTGGGTAGCAAACATACAACAGAGGATTATTAACACTTAACAAATCTATCTATTTAAAAACCGATACAGCCAATCAACTTTCAACAATTCCTACTTCAAGAGTTGCAGCTGCATTTCCTACTGCCCAGCTGCTGGGCACACCTTAATGCAACTCTGATCATATTTCAAGAGCACTTGTAAAATAAATAAATAACCTCAGGAGAAAAACAATGACGTATAATTCTAAAGTATAATATAAACATTAAAAATTTCCTAGTGAATTCAAGAAGAGCTGCTAGGTTTAATTATACAGTTTATTCTTTGGTGCAATTTGAAGGCTGACAATTTTGGTCCACAAATCCTGTATTATTATTAGCCATAAATATAGTAACACCCCCCAACATACACACGCATAAAAAATTCTTTTCCAGACCGTTAATGTGTCTTCAATCTTCCTTGTGGCAGCAAGCAATTTCTTCTCATCAATAAATGGCAACTTGGCAACACCCTGAAAAGCACCCGCAACAGTAATTTAAAAATCAACCTTAACTCCCACTTCATTCTAAAGCATTCTTGACGCATAAAAACACTATAATACCTGCCATGCAAATCGTTTGCCATTCATATCAATCTCAAAATCTGTCAAAAAGGTAACCATGTAATACCAGAACAAGAAAATGAATAAAACATAACAGAATAAATAATTAACAGACAAGTGATCTCACCAGCAGGGTAGAAGTGAAAAATAGGTGATGAAGGATCATTCATCAAATCCCTATAATTTTTAGGCAGTGCACTTGAACTGTAACAAGAAATTAGTAAGTATCAGCATAGAAAGCACGGTATGATAGATATAGGGACAGGAGAGGGGAAGAAACCTTGAAGCAGGTAGGGTCCCCATGAGTTGATCAAATGGTTTAAATGGCTCTCCCGGGAAAAAAGTTATTTCGAGATCACGTAGATTTTTAAAATCAGAAGCAAATGGAGCATAATGATATGGGTAATACCTGAAAAAACAATAAAAACCAATATTAAACAGATTGAACAATAGTCATGGGTGATATTTCAACTAAAATGAAGGAGACACTCCTAGCAACTTTTACCAATTATTTTACAGCAACTCAAACATCAAAGCCCATATCCCAGTCAACAAGGCATACAGTCTATATAATGTTATGTCAAATTGCTTCTGAAATCACAATGAGAAGTCCCTGCTAGCAACCATTTTAGGACAACAAAAATTAGAAGTCCTGAGGAGTAGCATTGAGTTCAGACAGAATAGAAAGATGCTGGACCCGGAAATTTTTGCTTAAACAAGAACAGACGTGGACCAAGACATTCATCAAGTCATACTCAATTAATTTTATACAATTATGAAAAAAAGTAATGGACCCATTATTTTTCACCTTGTTATCCATTGTTGTCAATATCGTAAGATTTCACGATTTTGTCTTCATAACCAATTTAAATCGTCTGTAAAATCGTCTTTGAACAGGATCGTTATGGATCGCTGCGCAGAATCGCAAAAATGGTGGGTTCGCTCAATCCCACCATGCTGGACAATCCAAAAAAATGAGCAACTCTTTCAGTAAGACACTAAGACCCACTCATTTTAAACAGGCTGAACCTTCTCTGCCTTTGTACAGGTTCCCTGTGCCATGATATAGAAAGATAGAAATTGATAAAGAAGTTTTCAAATGCGATAAAGAAAGTTGAAAGCATTCAAAAGTAGAGGTTTAATCCTGGAGTGAGAGAGAGATTGAAGAGAATTTCAGGGGAACCGAATTTTCAGACGAGTGAGAATGGATTGCTTAGCTGATGAAGACAGAGACGAGAGAGAAAGTTAAAAATTAGAGAGAAAGTTAAAATTAAAATATAAATATTTGAGAATATTTGAGTTCTGTAGTTCGTTTTTCTTAGTAGGTTGCTGCACGTTTGGGTAAGGGTAGGAATAAAAAGTTTTTTAAATGATAATTTGGTAAATTGGTAATTTGATTCCCTGATGCATTTTGTTGTCTTTTTCTTTCCCATTTCACTCCCACTATTCTCTCTCCTTACTTCTTTCTATTTTTATTTTTTTTAATCCTTCTTTTACATTTTGAGAGAATTTGCAATTATCATCTTTATTTTTATTTTTAAGTTAATCTTAAATCACGTGTATTTATATGCATAAATATTATTTTCTCATAATTAAAATGAAAAATATAAGATCTTACAATCTGTGTCGATACCATGATTTACGATTTTGTTATCCCTTCCCAATCTTAAGTAAGATATCAATCTTAACAACCTTGTTGTTATCATCCTTCAAGTGAAGCATTATAATATACAGATCATCTTAATACATGACCATCCATTGCCCTAGGTATCTTTAAGCAAAGAAATAACCATGAAGGCAATTAAACATTCAGACAAACAGCTTTCTAGTTTCTACCCCTGCAACAGGTTCAAGTTTGATCTTCTGAGAGACCAACAGTGAGATAACTTATTGGTTTCTCAAATTGAGTTTAAAAGTGTAGTTCACCAGAACTTGTTACTAACAGTGCATCATGCATGTAATTGTAAACATACCAACTTACCAAGTCAATCACGGAAAACAAACCCAGGAAGTGATAAGCAAACATAACCTATGATTAATAAATAAAAAAATGTTACTAACCATTTCCATGAGCAGACACCCTTATAATAATACCGGCAAACCCAACAAAGGCCTTCTACATATTTCAAGACCTACAAGGACAACAATGACAATGAGCTGTCTTCTAATGTAATACGTATTTTGTCAATAGCCAGAAATCAATGAGGATGAGTAGGATAATCGCCACAAGCAAGCAAAACATTCAGAATAAACAAATCCATCTATTAATATTAACAATTCACATGATGCATACTTCCAATCCAATGTGGGATTTTGTTAAAACTTTGTCCTATAAAAAGTTATTCCTTCATGTAAGATTGAATTTGATTTACATTACTATCAACAGATCTTAACCCATATGAAACCGATGGGACTGCATGAACAGACTCCCTTTCCTCCTTTGGAACACAGGCAGAAGGTAAGAACATGAGTTCAAAACACTGTCAAAGATATCAGTTCAAAAGAAAAAGGAGAAATCTTATATGCTTGTATTCTATCCATTTTAAATGAGGATATATATAAAAGGAAAGTTTAGATCCAAATATATAAGCATATAATGTAGTCCAAGAACAGCGAAAATTTCGATAAAGTTGAATAGTCTTTGGTCAAACAAATTGATAGAACTTACTGTATCTTTCTTAATTTTATCAATCTCCTCCAGATTTGATACACCAAACTTTTCAACATAATACCTTTCCTTGAATCCAGGCTCCCCTAGCTTAACCTGAGAAAATAACAAACACTCATTTCATATTTTGTCAGGATTTATATATTGCTCAAGTCATTGGATTTAATGCAACATTGGCCTAGCTTGCTGTCACAGACATGCTACCCATAGTGCATGTTAGGGAACACCAGTAGAATTACTTTGACAGTACAGAAAAGTGATTCTGGTGGAGTTCCAAAACATGCTGTAGAAAGTCAATAACATAAGTATTAAATTTAGTCAAGAAAAATGCAGAGAATATTCTAGCAATAAATTTTAATATTGAACCTTATCCACAAATGAGGCTCGTGGCTCTTCAGGCATTTCTCCTCTTGCCCTAGCTTTCATCTCTTCATTATATTCTGCAGCCTGTAAATACAATAACAAGAATTATATATCAGGAAGTAACCTATGAAAGCATATTAAAGGAACATATAGTTCATGCATTTCAGTTCATGAAATGAATTAGAAAGCACAATACCTGCTGAATCCGAACTCGTTTCTGAAAGATTTGATCTTCATGAACAGCGACAGACTGGATGAAATGTTCCACTCTATCTAAGAAAACCTAAGAGATATAAAGATAATTGAAAAAGAAGGAATTCCAGATCGATGTTTAAGAGTTATATCCAAAGCACAAAACAAGCAGCTGTAGAAGTGAAAAGATAATTGCTGGAGTACAAGAATATATCACAACCATATAACATATTAATGAACATAAAGATGAGCACAAGTTAGTTGGATGATCAAAAAAAAGAAAGAAAGAAAGAAATTTACCTCACCCACATCAGTAAGATAACCACCCATGGCAGTAAATTCCTTTCTATACATATGCATCAATAAATTTATAGCCCCCTGAAATAGTAGAAAGTTTATTGAAGGGAACAGCATTGACAATTAGGTAGAAAGACAAGTATGCAATGAGATAAAAGGGCATAACAGAAGCATGTTAAGATCCCACATCCCAAAAATAGTAACAAGAAGCAGATAGCAATGCCATATTTTCTGTTTCAAGGTACAGCTCAGTGTAACATGGTGCTGGCCAGATGCTTACCTCCCTGATCTCTAATGTTGGCATATGCGGAAGAAAGTCATTGCCAACAAAGAAGCACAGAAATACAAAATCATCCACTACTCGTTCAAAGTCAATCTCAAAAGGAGGGTTGGGAATCTCCAATTCATATTGCAAATATTCACGCAGCACCCAGATATTAAGAAACTGTGAATACTAGAATTAGTTTAAAAATAAAAAATAAATACACTAATAAAAAACAGAAACAAAAATAAAGATTCAGATCAACATTGTGGATACCAATCCTCCAACCTGATATTTCTTTTTGTGAATTGGGTTATCATCAGCAGGATTGCAGTCCTCAGCTTTAGTGCCTGGCTTACCATGACAATCAGCCGCAAAATGGCCAACTTGGCCACACAAAAAACACTTATCCTGTTGTCCAGGTAAAGTAATAACCTGTTCACCAGGAAATTAATCATTTGAGACCATCCATTAAGATTAATGAGCTAACAATATCATCAGGAAAATTCATTGGAAACTAACCTCCCTCAATATTGAGAAGTGAACCTCATGTGTAGCTAAGGAAAGCATAATCAAATCAGCATCCTGGTTTAAAGATCATATCATACTACACTAAATTAAGCAAAGGATAACGACACCAAAAACAGAGAAGATGAAAATTCAAAGTAGGACAAAAACTCACCAACCCATACAAACAATGTTGAGTATTTGGATTGAAACCAGGAACGTTGCGTTGTAATCGGATGTATTCCATTATTTTATGTTCTCCCTCACCGTGCACATTTGAATCAGAAAGTATAACCTTCAAAAAATTAATCACCCAATGCAGTCCCATAAATAAATACACAGAGACAAAGTATCATGAAAACCAGATGTATAAAGGAAAAGAAAATAAATGGGATTACTCCAAAAGAAAGGAATCATCCAATTTTGAAGGGATCAAATGGCAAAAGAATGAATAAGATAGTGTCAATGGCACCTTTAGTTTCTGCCAGCCAGGATGGTTGTTCAATCTTGTCTGTATATAATATTGAAGAGCCACTGACAGTGCTGTCATAAATTGAGTGCCAGGGGTAATGACATTTGAGTCTGAAGTCTCAGGCTTGTCTTTAGAAGACAAAAGTTTTCCCTCACACTCAAATTCTTTCCTCAACCTTTCCTCTTCAGCTTCCTATAATGTCACTCATAAGCATAGTAACTCAAACTTCACCATAAAAAAGAGAAAGACCCTAGTAAGCATGCACATATAAACATTCTTACAGCCTCAGCTGCATCTTTTGCAGCTCGGAAGCGCCGAGAACGTTGCTGATTCATTTTGGCCCTTGGCGCAACACCATCTGAAAATTTAAAAGTAACGAAACAAGTGGCAAAAGCTCAAGGGGAAAGAAAAGTACATGTGAAAAGATACATATCAAATGGGAAAGTGGTTTAAAGTAAAAACAGAAGTAGTTTGAAACTTAAATGCTGTAAAGAACCTTAGGATACACCACCCCAAAAGCTAGCTCAAAGGGTGGGAGTGCCCAAGGCCTTATAAACTCCACATTAGTTGCACATACAACCAATGTGGGACTATATATCTCAACACGCCCCCACACACGAGAGCCCATTGGGCTTGAAGAGTGGACAATGCAACAGGCCCAGTCTACCTGTGCTAAGAAACGCCACAAGAGAAAGTGGGGGGCGGCGAGGCTCTGATACCATATAAAGAACCTGGTGGCCCATGCAGGTCACGAACCTGCGACCTTCGCGTTATCACCACGAAGAACCTGGTGTCTTGAGTAGGATGCTGAGAAGAAACCTTCTTGAGAAGTGCCTCATAGTCGGCACTTGAAAGAGTTACTAATCCAGTTGAAGGTGGCGTAACATCAGTTTGAGCAATAAAGATCTCTTCACTTCACTTTCTTATTCTAATAACCTACCCCCTGTCACTCTTGCTGATGGCACTAAAGCTCCTGCTCGTGGAATTGGGGAAGCCAAACCAACTCCTCTTTTAACTTTGAGTTCAGTTTATTATATACCTGGCATTCCTTTTAATTTAATCTTTGTTAGCCAGTTGATTCATTCTCTTTCATTTACTATTACCTTCTCTAAACAATCCTTTTCTATGCAGGATTCGGGTACGGGGAAGACGATTGGAGCAGGCGTTGAGTCACGAGGTCTCTACTATCTGATTGCACCACCTTCTCCAGTAGCTTGTTATCTCACAGAGTCTCCTGAGCTAATTCACAGCCGTCTGGGTCATCCAAACTTCTCCAAGCTTCAGCATATGGTTCCCTTTTTATCCAATCTTAAGTCTTTAAACTGTCATTCTTGTCAGCAAGGAAAACACACTCGCTCCTCCTTTGCTAATAGAGTCAATAAAAGAGCTGATGCTCCTTTTTCTATTGTTCATTCTAATATTTGGGGTCCGAGTCGAACAACGTCTGTTTTGGGTTTTCAGTATTTTGTCACCTTTATTGATGATTTCTCCCGTTGCACTTGAGTTTATTTAATGAAAAATCGTTCTGAGTTATTTTCAATTTATCAAAAGTTTTGTGCAGAAATAAAAACTCAATTTGGTGCTTCTATTCAAATCTTGCGCAGTGATAATGCAAAAGAGTATGTGTCTCTTGAATTTTCTAAATTTCTGGATACACAAAGGACGATACACCAGACTACCTGTCCTCACACTCCACAACAAAATGGAGTCGCTGAACGTAAAAATAGACATCTAGTTGAAACTGCACGTACCCTTCTCATTCATATAAACGTCCCACTCCGTTTTTGGGCAGATGCTATTATCACCTCATGTTTCCTTATCAACCGCATGCCCTCTTCTGTGCTAAATAATGATGTTCCCCACAGTATTTTGTTTTCCGGAGCACCTTCTTATCCTCTGCCTTTACATATTTTTGGCTGTACTTGTTTTGTTCATGATCTTACTCCAGGTAAAGACAAGTTGACATCCAAGGCCTTCAAGTGTATTTTCCTTGGGTATACACGTTTTCAAAAAGGGTATCGTTGCTATTCTCCTGATCTCAAGCGTTATATCGTTTCTGCTGATGTCACTTTCCTTGATCAGCAGCCTTTTCACTCTACTCCGTCTCCAGTGTCCCAAGTTGATCAGGTCCTCCCTGTTCCTTTTCTTGACTTGTCTTTACCAGCTGCAGGTGACCCTATTCCAGAGGAGCAACCAATTACCTCCATACCTGCAGATCGTCCTCTCCTCACATACCAGCGTCGTCAGCCTGCACCTCCTCCGACTTTGCCTCTTGATGACTCATCGCCCTTTCCCGTCGGCTCTTCTCCTCCGGATCCTCCATCAGAGACTCCTCCCATTGCCCTTCGGAAAGGTATTCGATCCACTCGAAATCCTCATCCCCTTTATTCTTTCTTGAGCTAGCTTTTGGGGTGGTGTATCCCAAGGTTCTTTACAAATGCTATAGGGCTTAGACTCATAACAGAAAGTGAGGGAAAGTGAAAGAAAGATTACAGTAGAAGATTTGAGAGAAAGGGAATATTCTGGAACTGAATCTGTAGCAATATTCTGAAGAGATCTGAATCTGTTACAATGTATATATAGTTAGAGGTATCAACTGACTCTACTGGTATTGACAGCTGTCAGTTTAGAGAACTAACGGAAACCCAAGCTCAGCACTGAGATACGTGCTCTACAGAGAGCCTAATAAAAAACAAACTCAGAGTGGGTGAATCAATGAAAATTGATCAACCACTCTGTGTTTGTCAATGTAAGAGATGCTGTAGTACACCTATACAATTGTGGCTGTGAGGGACTCTGTGACAGTAATCACGTTCAGTGAAAGCTCACTGCAACAAAATTAGCTAGAACTCAATTACACAGTTATAGAATTCAGTTAAGTTATTGAGAACTGGTTCTATAAATATGTAACTCGCATTCATGGAACAATCAATCAAATTCAATTTCTTTAGTTCAGATATTTTCCTTTCTCTTCAGTTTCATTTTCTCTCAGAATCTCGGTTTCTACGTGGTACCAAAGCTTGACCCGGTCCCTGCCATGGCTGGCTCGCCAACTCTTAGTGATCATTGTAAAGAACCAATTTAACCCAAAAGCTTAAGCTAATGGGTGAGGTCTTTTTAATGGTTTATAATATTCTCTAATATGCCCCCTCACACGAGAGCCTACTGGACTTAAAGGGTGGACATTGGACAATGCACAGGCCCACCTACCTGTGCTAAGAAAATTCCACAAGAGAAAGTGGGGGGCGGCGAGGATCGAAAACGGGACACGAAGCTCTGATACCATGTAAAGAACTAATTCAACCCAAAAGCTTAAGCTAATAGGTGAAGGCTTTTTAATGGTTTATAATATTCTCTAACAATCATGTCTCCTCGCTGGCTCCGTTGTCACCTTCAATTGCTCCGGCGAGTTTTTATGATTCCATATCGGTTTGTTTGGTTGGATGTGAAGAAATTTCTCCTTTAAAAGCAAGAAATGGAGGTCGTGACCAAAGGTTACCAGCTCCACCGATTCATTGCCAATCCTGAGATTCCACCTCGGTTTTTCTCTAAATATGATCGTGACAACGGTCAGGTAAAATAAAGCTTACCTTTCTTCCCTAATTTTTTCAATTAGGGTTTTTTCCTTGGCTCCTTTCTTCCCTCTTTGACTTGTTGCTCATACGTGGCTAGTTGCACCCATTTGGGACGAGATCCACAATTTCTTCACCTCGCAAACTCATGTAGTGTGTCAGTTTAGATCAAAGTTTCACACTACAAAGAAAGGTACTTGATCTATCTCTAAGTACTTGTTGCGCATCTAAGGGATTGTGGATTCGCTAGTTTCTATCGATTTTCTGGTCGCTCCAGATGAGCAATTGGATGTCATTCTCAAAGGCTTGACGGACAAATATGATGTGTTCATGATCTCCATCAATAGTAGGATCAATCCATATACTGTCAACGAAATTGAGTATCTACTTTTAGCTTATGAGGTGAGGCATGAGAAAAAGCACACACCATTTTTTTATGCTTTTTCGGTCAATCCCACTCAGAAGAGGCCTGCAATTACTATTGTTCAAATAGGCTCTTCTTCCTCAGCCTCTCTGGTCCAGGCTTCTGGTGCTAGTTCTGTTAATTCCTAGATTCCATCCTCTGCCCAACAATTTCTTCCATATCTTCCACTGTCTGTTCAGGGAACCAGCTCATAATTTCCATCGAACTTTTCCCTTGGTGATCTTTTCACATGACTTGTTTCCACACTATCACACTTGTGTCCTCTTCTACTTCCTTTCCTTTACCTCCCGCACCTATTCTTGCTTCCCTTCCCCTTCTTTATTCTAGTCCTTCTTCCTCTTTGTCCTCTCCTTCAAGCAAGTTTGACTCTAGTTTACTTCTAGATCCCATGGCCTATTCAATTCATCGACTCCTCCCTCTTCTTCCTACTCCCCTATGATTGCATCTAAATCTCCTTCTTCATCTCTAGTTCTTTCTTCCTCTTGCCTATCTACCTCTCGGTATATTCACCCTATGCAAACCTGTTCCAAGTCTCGTATTGTAAAACCTCGTTTTACCCTCTTGAACCAACTATTGTCAAGCAACCTTTGTTCCTTGCTCACTGGCATGTTGCAATGCAAGCTGAGTTTGATGCCTTAGTGGCCAAAAACACTTGGTCCTAGGTCTCTCTTCCTCCTAACAGGTATGCAATTGGTTGTAAGTAAGTGTTTTAAGTTAAGGAAAATCCTAATGGGACTATTTAAAAGTATAAGGTGCAATTTGTGGCCAAAAGGTTTCACCAGCAACCCGACTTTGACTACACTAGAACCTTTCCTCCTGTTGTTAAGCCTGTCACCATTTGTATCATCCTTACCTTGGCTCTCACTCAAAGGTGGCCTATTCAGCAGGTTGATGTGAATAATGCTTTCCTCAATGTCCTACTTAAGGAAGAAGCATATATGGTCCAGCCTCCTAGCTTTGAATCTTCAATCAAAACCTTTCCTCCTGTTGTTAAGCCTGTCACCATTTGTATCATCCTTACCTTGGCTCTCACTCAAAGGTGGCCTATTCAGCAGGTTGATGTGAATAATGCTTTCCTCAATGTCCTACTTAAGGAAGAAGCATATATGGTCCAGCCTCCTAGCTTTGAATCTTCAATCAAAACCTTGGTTTGTAAGTTTCAAAAAGCCAATTATAGCTTTAAGCAGGCTCCTCAGGCCTGGATTGAATGACTCACCTCTACTCTTCACAAATTTGGCTTCCTCTCCAACAAGTGTGATCCCTCTCTCTTTGTTCATAAGGGCAACTCCCACTGCATCTATCTATTGGTTTATGCAGATTATATCATCATCATTGGTTCCTCTTTATCTCTCATCCAACAACTAATGACTAAACTCAGTTCCGTGTTTGCTCTTAAACAACTTGGCGCTCTTGAATACTTTTTGGGTATTGAAGTTAAATGCCTTTCCAATGGATCTCTATTACTTTACCAAGGCAAGTACATCCATGATTTACTAGATAAGGCTCACATGAGTAATGCTAAGGGTCTCTCCACTCCCGTGGTTAGTGGTTGTAAGTTCAGCAAATATGGCCATCTCTCCAAGCTAAGAGCTGAGATACTTGATCTACAGATAGTCAAATACAAACCAGCCACTCTAACACAAATGTAGCCCTCCAAAAATTGGATATATGTAAGTTTTGATTTGCCATATTGGCTTTTCTGTTTAATGAAAACTTATCTGAGTCTTTTACGAACAGATTTGCACTATATTGTTGATACACTTCTTTAGTGTGATTTCTAGGTTTGACATGGAGCTCTAAAACCCCTATGGTTTACAGCTTCAAGGAGCTGACATGATCGATCTGACATCAGGAATCTGACACCTCCACACTTAGTAATGTTAATATGTTACAATCCAAAAGAACAATGAAAATAAAAAAGTACATGTACATATATATTCATATTCATACCAAGTGCAAGGTAGACAAGCTTCCTTGGACGAACCAACGAAAAGATATGGTCAATGTAATCAAATATTGATTTGAATACATCATCATAGGTAGCAGGTGCTGGCTGCATTTAAAAAGATTTATTAACCATAGCAATGTAACTTTACCAAAATTACTGTGTAACTCAGAAACTCCAACTATATAATACCTAGTATGGAACATGACTTCAGTTCACTATATAATACCTAAACCGAAAAGAATTATGAAAATTCGTAGCAAAAAATCAAACATGAAGTTGAAACAGAAATTTCAGAAAAGTTCTTATTCCATTCAGGTTCAGCATAACGAGGGGGATTCTAAGTTTCTTTCCAAACGGAAATTAAGAAAAATAGATGTGAAGCGAAGAACGTTAGTTACCTTGCCATCCGGGTGAAAACAAGGGTGAACCATACCGTTCATGTCCAAGTACAAGTTGTCGAACTCCATGCCATTGGGATTAGGTTTAGACACATCAATAGGCAACGGAACGCCGTCGTCACCGACGGTGGGCTCTTCCTCCACTACATCGGCGATCGTGAGCGGGTACCGGTCCGCGAGCCACCGGTAAAATGCAGGCACTCCCATAGTTTCGGCTCGGTTCGACCGGTTCGGATACGACGAAAAAAAAAATTAAGGGAAGAAAGTTTTGGACTAGTGACACAGTCTGCAGTTTAGAATGGTGATTGTCGGGGACGAGTTGTTGATGGACGATAATACCCTTCTTGTGCCACCTCATTAAATTTGGGGCTGCCACTATTTACCATGTTACCCATTCAGAACTAATCCCATTGTTGGCATGGAGTTGCACAGCTTGTATACTTGGACATGAACGGTTTGGTTTACCCTATTTCCAATGAACTGTACTAGTGAGAGATGATCATGTTATTTTGAAGCTGTTACGGATAACAATAAATTAGGAGAATATTTTGCTATTACAGATGTATTAAAAATTAGGTGTATATTTCACTTATTTTATCGAATTATTTTTTCTCTTAATTTTAAAATAAATTATTTATTATTGATTTGACAAAAATAAAACACGTGTCACAATATGAATGGAAGATACACCAAATTTACGGTGCATCTGTATTAGTAAAGCAATTTTCATAAATTAGGTACACGTTAATAAGACTTAATTGACAACTCATTGAATAAAAAAGGGCATTCAAACATTGACTTAGTTAAATAAGTTAAATTTAAAACTTTAATTTTTTTTTTCTTTTTAATAACCTGAAGGGTATCTCCATTCAACCTCTTTCGGTCATCTTATTCTCAGAATTTTTTTTTTTTTTTAAATTTGACAAATCTACTTATGCATATACACACGTACCCAGTCTCGTAAAAGACAATTTCACGACTTCTATTTTCTTTTTATTTAATTCTCTATCGCATGAGTTACACTACATAAGGAGAGAGAGAAAATTTTTCATTTACGTTTATCATGTCCTCCTCCTCTCCGATATAATTTAAACCTAATTTGTTAATTTTCAAATAAAAGAGAAGAAAAAAATCACATATATTTATATATCAGGGCTATTTCGCTTCAGCGAGATTGACAGCGAGTTTCCGATTAGAGCGAGAGCCACCTGATGCAGTTTTTCACTTAAATTTCAAAATTTCATTCTTTCTTTCACTAATTTTCAATCCACCATTTAATCTCATCTCAAAACCTACTTAGAGATATTTAATCACTAGGGTATAACATTGACGATACGATATTTCTTGAAAGATATAGGTTATTCTGCCTACCCTTATCTTTGTTTATCTCTCTCAACACTATTAGATTACAATCTCATTCAATAGTAGAGATTTGCGAAATAAAATAAACATTTTTTTCCTCTTTCTCCTCATTGCCTCCTATATCCTTTCTCTCTATTGGATTTTCTTCATTTTGTTGGTGATTGGAATTACAGGGAATTACTGGTTTTCGACAATAAAACGAATTATGAAAATGAATTTTGGAGATTTGAAATTTTCCATATAATATTTGTTCCTTGTTTAGGTTATTGGAAATATTTTTTGAACCTTGTCATGAACTTCTCTTGAAAAATGGGATTTTTTTCCGTCCTAAGAGGTAAATGGTCAATGTTGATTACAAAAGAGTCAAATCAAATTGAAAAAAGAGGATGTAATCGAAGCTATGTAGGTTCTCGTTCGGAACTTAGTGTTGGCATATTCAAGACAAATGTAGGGATCTTGCCTTTAAATATGTTCTCTGTCTTTCAACTTGGAACACGACACCACTGCATCCACCAATCCATTGTTATTTTTTAGAAATCAAAACCAAAACCAAAATTAAAATCGATGATGGTATATCCAATAGAGAGAAAGAGGAAGAGAAAGAAAGGGTGTGAAAGACCGTGAGAAGAGAGAAAGAGAAAAAAAATTATTTTATTCCATAAATCTCTATCGTTGGATGAGATTGTAATCTAACGGTATTGAGAGATGTAGGCAAAGGTAGACAGAATAAAGATAGGTAGAATAACCTATTTCTTATTGTAATTGTGTTGGTTATACAACAATGAGAGAATACAGCATGATGGATCACACCATTAGATTCCTAAAAGGTCTCAATGACCAGTATGCTAATGTTAAATTGCAAGTGATGATGTTGAATTCATTCCCTGGTGTTAACACAGTCTTCTCTCTTGTTATACAACAAGAAAGACAACTCAATCTTGTCATGCTAATTTTGCAAAAGGACAATTTTTCTTTAATGCCTCTAACAATAATTCTTGTGCTTTTTTTGGATCTGGTAGAGAAAGAGACAAATTTGTAAGAGGAAGAGGACAACACATTGGTAGCAGAAACACTAGTATAAACAATAAAGTTTGTACGCATTGTGTGAGAAATAATCACACGGTTAAAACATGTTTTCATCTCCGTGGCTTTCTTTCGGGATACAAGTCAAGAGACTCATGCATTGCTAATTGTGCTATTCAAGAAAATCAACAAAATGTTTCTTTTAGAGAAGCAAACAATGAAGAAAATAATTCAAGTTCACAAAGTCATGCACTCTCTCGGGAGTAATATGACACCATTATGAATATGCTACAACAATCAATAGTTAGCACAAAAGCAACATATTCCACCAATCTTGTTCTCATTACTGCTGCCTTAAATGCAGATGTGAATCAATGCTCAAGTAATATATTTGAAAGGTGGATCTTGGACGCTAGAGCCACATACAACATATGCTTCTTTCGTTCAAGTTTTCCCCCATTTCAGAAAATCTCACCTATTTTTATCACCTTACTAAATGGTTCTAAAGTTATAGTAAATCATTAAGGGATAATGACTCTTACACATGAACTAATTTTGCATAATGTTCTTTATGTTCTGCAGTTTAAACCGAATTTAATCTCTGTTATGAAGCTCTTACATGACCAACCCTATCATCCAACCTTCTATGATCTTTCTTGTATCATTAGACAAAACCACACGCTACAGACAATTGTTACAGCTAAGGCATACAGAGATGTGAACCATTTCATTGGATATACATGTTCATCAATCAAGTTGTAGTTCTCAAAATAAATTAGAATGTAAACCATTTCTTTCTAAATGTAATTCCATTCATTGTACCAAAGATGATTCTGTATTATAGCACTTATGTTTAGGTCACATTTTAAATACTTCTTTGAAACATATGCCTGTAAAGTTTCCTTTCATTCCTTTTAAACAAATATATCCATGTGATGTTTGCCAATTATCAAGACAACAAAAATTGCATTTCCCACTAAGCAATACTAACTCTGATCACATATTTGCTCTTTTGCATGCTGATGTCTGGTGATTGTATGCCATTCCTTCAATTCATGGCCATCGGTATATCCTTACTTTGGTGGTCGACTACTCTCTTTTCACTTAGGCTATACCCATGAAAACAAGTTTGAAAAAAAGACTAATATTCAACATTTTGTAGCTTACATAGAAAATCAGTTTGATATCACACTTCAAACTATCAGAACCGATAATGGGACTGAATTCTTCATATTTGAGTTCCTTCTTACAAAGGGAATCATCCACCAAACCACTTGTGTTAAAACACCCCAGCAAAATGGGGTAATAGAAAAAAAAACATCAATATATATTACATGTTGCAAGGGCCTTGCTTTTCCAAGCCAACCTTCCCAAACCTCTATGGTCATATGCCATACTCTACTCTATACATCTCATAAATCGTCTCTCTACTCCCGCCCTTGATAACAAAACCCCATATGAAATGCTTAATAAGAAATCATCCAACTTGTCTTACCTCAAAGTGTTTGATTGCCTTTGTTAGGCAACCACCCTGACTTCCCAAGGTCATAAATTCTCTCCAAGGGTAGGAAAGGTAGTTTTTCTTAGTTACTAAGAAGGAACCAAAGGATATATCTTATATGATCTCACTACCAAACACTTAACTATCTCTCGAAATGTTGCTTTCTTTGAAAATCAGTTTTCTTTCATGACTGTTACATCACCATCTATTTCAATTTTTGTTCATGCAGAGATCAACTTATATCTTGATGATAGTTATCTTCCTCATTAACCTATACTACATAATCCCAATGTTGTTATATCTGCTAATGTTCCAAATGAAAGTATCCTTTTGTAGGCCATGAATATAAATGAGGGAAAAATTAAAAAAATTGTGCCGAAGAAGCAATCTTTGTCCACCCTCAATCATGTCCAACCCATGAATCATGCAATAGACATGTTAGGGATTTAAAGTTGATAACTTTATTCGGATAACTTTTTCTGATCAAATGCGTTCTTGATCAAATCTTCAGACTTGAAGAATATAAATCCACCGATGGAGATCCATACCATCTTATTTTCTTGTAAAAGAAGAACGCTTCTTCGGATGCCCAATGTCCTTCAATGGAGGTTGCTAGACTCAAGAGAAGAACAAAGATTGGATAGTGCATTTGGTTATTCCAAGAGAAAGAGACAGTCGCCACACTGATGTGTGTGTTGGCTATAGTTTCAATGGAGAAAATTAGAGAAGAAGAGTTACAAAACTAAGGAAGAAAAGAGCTATATATATGTGGTGCCTCATTAACCTAAGATTAGGTCAAATCAGCGCCCTCGTCAAATCTCAATCTTATTGGGTAATTTTCTTAATTTTATCCAATCAATCCAATTGAATGATATTCTCAATTTCAGTCAATTAATTTAATTAATTGGTTTCATTAATTTTATTCAATTAATTTAATTGGATGGTTTCCCCAATTTTAGCCAATTTATCTAATTAATTGATTTCCTTAATTTTATCCAATCAGTCAAATTGATTGGTTTCCCAAATTTCAGCCAATTAATTTTTATTTTTTATTTTTTTTAGTACAAAGGAGGGGCAAGCCCCAAAAACAGAAAAAACTAAGAAAAAAAGGCCCTGGTATCCATGGACAGCAAGGAGCCCAACCCTGCAGGGGCTTCTTCCAAAATGGTAATCTCTTCAATGCTTCCACAATTGTAACTCGCCAGCCAGTCAGCGCATCTATTTCTCTCCCTAATGTCGTGGTTAAAGAGAAGTTGTCACTCTTCCTTCTTCCATCCTCTAATGCTATTAATAATCTGACCCATGGTTTCTGTCTCCTTGGGGTTGTTAATTGCAGCAATTGCAATTTTCGAGTCACTTTCTACCACCAGATTGCGGGCTCCTTTGTTCCAAGCGACTTGCAATCCTATCAAAATTGCCCACAA